AGGTTGAAAGTGGTCGGTTACAGTGGTACTGCTGGAGATTCTTTGGTTGGTCATGATGGTCAAAAATTTAGCACGATGGATAAAGACCAAGACAGTCACAATTCGTCACATTGTGCACTTGGAGATCGTAAGTAAGTCGGTTTCTAATGTTGGATTAGGATTGTTGTTGTTTTAGAAGGTGGTTGGTGGTACAATAGTTGCTTTTCGTCTAAACTTACTGGAAAATATTTGAAAGCCACGGGAGCTAATTATTTCGGAATACATTGGAACAGTTTTCGCCCATCTAATACATACAGTTTGAAACAAGTAAGGATGATGATCAGAGGAAGGGAATTATGGTCGTGAAGACAATAGAGTCTTTCTTTCAAAATTCTGTTTTATTTAAATCTTTACCAACATCTTGACTTCCTTCAAACTATACCTGTACCCGTGGAATTCTGAGTAATGTATGCCATCTCCGAACGACTTTATCTCGCCTTTGAGGTACTTCCCGGTGAGTTTGACGTGGAAACACCCAGGACCGTACCACCAAGGTCCGTCTAAAAACAACTTTATGCCAAAACCTTTCCAGATTCTTCAAACTCACGATAAGTTTCGACGCAACTTCCATAAGTATCTTGCCTATCCAGAGTGTTAAATCTCCAGTTGAGGTGACTCGTGAAAGAGACTCCACCGTCTCCACTGTTGTGATTGTTTGATTTCTCGGCGTTTCAATTTGTTAATTTTTAGAAATTTCGATTTATCGAATTTTTGCTTAAGGATTTTCAATTTTCCAATTTCCGATGTTCCGCCTTTTCAATTTTTTTGATGTATCGATTACACGGTTTTTTGGTTTTTAAGTTTCTCGATGTTTCAATTTTCCAAATTATTAAATATTAGATACATTTTTGAACTTTTCATTTCCCGACATGTTGACTTTTCGATTTTTGTTTTCTCGATTTTGCAAGTTATCAATCGAAAAATTCGCAAAATTAATACTCTATTTCAATTTTTCCATTTCTTGATTTTTCAATTTTTCAATATTTAAATGTTTCGATTTTTTAATTTTAGATTTCCGGTTTACGGATTTCTCGATTTTTAGGTTTTTAAATTTAGCTTTTCCGATTTATGATGTTTCGATTGCTGGGCCTTTTGATGTTTCAAATATTCAATTTTTCAAAATTTCAATTTTTGGGATTTTTCAAATTTTCGATTTTTCAATTTTTAAATTTTTTATTTTTTGACTTTTTGACTTTCAGATATTTCGATTTTTTCATTTCTCGATCTTCCGATTTTTCAGGTTCTTCAATTTTTTGGATTTTTCAGGTTTTTGTTTGTTCAAGTTTTCGATTTTTTAAGAGTTGAAAATTCGAGAAATCGAATTACCGGAAAATCTAAACATCGAAAAATTGACAAACTGAAAGATCGAAAGATCGAAACATCAAGTTCGAGAAATCCAAAAATAGAAGAATCTGAAAGTCGAAAGGTCAAAAAATCAAAAAATTCAAAAATTTAAAATCCAAAAATTGAAAAGACAAAAAATTGAAAAATCATTAAACTGAAACATCAAAAAATTGATAAATTGAAAAACACCAAAATTGCGAAATCGAAAATTTGAAAAATTCCAAAACTGAAATTTCGAAAAATTGAGTAATTCAAAAATCAAAAAATCCAGCAATCGAAACATCAAAAATAAAACAACTTTAAATCAAAAAATCTCAAAAATCGACAAACCCAAAAATCTAAAATTTAAAAATCGAGACAATGAAATACTGAAAAATTGAAAAATCCAAACATTGTAAAATTTAAATATTAATTTTGGGAATTTTTCCATTGAAAACTTGAAAAATCAAGAAACTTAAAAACCAAAAAAAAAACAGTAAATTGAAAAACGGGAAGTCGAAAAGTAGAAAAATTAAAAATAGGGAAATTGAAAAACTGAAAAATAAAAAAAACGAGAAATCGAGAAGCTAAAATAAAAAAAAAATGAAAAAAAAACTGAAAAATTGAAAAAATTAAAGAAATGTAAAAAATCAAAAATTTAAAAATCGAAAAATTGGAAAATCTTTAAACTGAAACATTTGAAAAATGGAAAATCGAAAAGCCTTAAAGAAAAAAATTCGAGACATCGAAATATGAAAAAATTAATAAATTGAAACGCCGAGAAACAAAACATCAAGATGGAGAAATAGAGAATCGCAAAAAGTTGAGAAGTCGAAAAATCAAAAAATGGTTAAAGGGAAATTGAAAATAGAAAAACTGAAAACACGAAAATTTAAAAACCGAAAACTTGAAGAATCCTGAAATATAAAGTTTAAAAATGGAAAAATAAAAATCTGAAAAATAAAAAAACGGCAAATCGAGAAATCGAAAAGCTAAAATATAATATATCGTTAAAGTAAAATATCAAAAAATTGAAGAATCAAAAGTTGAAAGAAAACTCAAATATCGAGAAATTGCTAACTCGATAAATAGAATAATGGAAGACAAATTTAATCAAAAAATTCAAAAATCTCAAAACTGAAACATCGAAAAACTGAGGAATCGATAAAGGTAAAATCGAGAAATCGGAAAGGCGAATGTTCAAAAAATGGAGAAAACAAAAAATCAAAAAATTATAATTAAACAAGAAATCAAAAAAATTGAAATTTCGAAAAATTGTGTAATTGAAAACTTGAAAGATTGAGCAATCGGAACATCAAAAATCGAAAAATCTAAAATTTGAAAATTGAAAAATTAAGAAAATTGAAAAATCAAAACACCGAAAAATTGGAAAATCGATGAATAAAAAAGCCCCAAAGTAAAAAATTCGAAATATAGAAAAATTAACAAATCAAAAGATTTCTGAGACATCAAAACATATGGAAAAATTTTAAAATTTAAATTAAAAAAAATCAGTAAATCAAAAAATTGAAAATCAAAAATGGGGAAACCGAAAAATTGAAAAATCAAAATATCGAAATCTAGAAACCGGAAAATTAAAAAGCTGGAAAATCGAAAATTTAAAAACTGAGAAATTGAAAAATCCGAAAATGCAAAATTTTAAAAGTCGAAATACCGAAATATCGAAAAATCGAAAAGCTAAAATTTAAAATATCGGAAAATTACAATATCGAAAAATTAAAATATCAAAAATTGAAAAACTGGAAAATTTAAAACTCCCAAAACTCAAATATGGAAAAATTGATAAAACAGTAGATCGAAGAAAAATTGTAAAATCGAGAATCCGAAAAATCGAGCAATGGAAAAATCGAAAATATGAAAAATCAAAAAATTGAAGAATCAAAAAATTGAGAAATCGAAAAACTAAAAAATTGTGAAATCGAAAATTTTAAAATCCCAAAACTGAAATTTCGAAAAATTGAGTAATTGAGTAATTCAAAAATCAAAATCGAGACATCAAAAATAAAAAAGTTTTAAATCAAAAAATCCAAAAATCCACAAACTGAAACATCTAAAATTAAAAAAATCGGGACAGTAAAATTTAAATATTATTTAAATAAATTAATAAAAAAAAAACAGTAAATCGAAAAATTGAAAAATCGAAACATCGAAAAATATGTAAAACATCGAAAAGCCTCAAACTCAAAAATTCGAAACATCGAAAAAACTGAAAGTCGGAAAGTATAAAAATTAATAATTTGAAAAAATGAAAAATAAAAAAAAGAGAAATCGAAAAATAAAAAAAATTGAAAAAAAGAACCTGAAGAATCGAAAAAATTCAAGAATTGAAAACCTGAAAAATTGGAACACTGAGAAAAAAATCCAAAAATCTGAAAATCGAAAGCTCAAAAAAGCAAGAAATCGAAAAATTAATATTAATCGAGAAATCAAAAAAATCAAAAATTCAAAAATCGAAAAATTGGAAAATCATAAAACTGAAACATCAAAAAATTGGAAATTCGAAAAGCCTTAAAGTCAAAAATTCAGGACGTTGAAGTATCTAAAAATTAACAAACTAAAACGCCGGGAAATCTAAACATGAAGATGGAGAGAAATCAAGAATGGCAAAAAGCTGAGAAGTCGAAAAATCAAAAAATGGTTAAACCGAAATTGAAAATAGAAAAACTGAAAAAACGAATAAAAATTAATAATAATTAATAAAATAATTAAAATAGAATAATGGAAGAAAAATTTAATCGAAAAACTGAGGAATCGATAAAGGTAAAATCGAGAAATAGGAAAGGCGAAATATCGAAAAATCGGAGAATCGAAAATTTAAAAAATTGAAAAATCAAAAACTTAAAAACCTGAAAAATTGAACCATCGAGGAACCAAAAATCAAAATTGAAAAATCTGAAAGTCAAAAGTTCAAAAAATCGAGAAAACAAAAAGTCAAAAAATTAAAATTAAACAAGAAATCAAAAAAAAATGATATTTCGAAAAATTGAGTAATTGAAACCTTGAAAGATCGAGCAATCGGAAAATCAAAAATCGAAAAATCTAAAATTTGAAAATTTTAAAAGTAAGAAAATTGAAAAATTAAAACATCAAGAAATTGGAAAATCAAAAAATTAACAAATCAAAAGATCCTTGAAACATCAAAACATCCGGAAAAATTTTAAAATTTAAATTTAAAAGAAATCAATAAATCAAAAAATTGAAAATCATAAATGGAGAAACCGAAAAACTGAAAAATCAAAACATCGAAATCTAGAAATCGGAAAATTGAAAAGCTGGAAAATCGAAAATTTAAGAACCGGGAAATTGAAAAATCCGAAAATGCAAAATTTTAAAAGCCGGAAAACCGAAAAATCATAAAATAGAGGAATGGAGAAAATATCGAAAAATTAAAATATCAAAAAATTGAAAAACTGAAAAATTTTAAACTCCCAAAACTCAAATATGGAAAAATTGATAAAAAACAGAAATATCCAAAATTTGAGAAATCGAAACTTGAAAAATCATGAATTCAAAACATGGAAAATCTCGATTTGTACAATAAAAATTCTGGACGAATTCATAAACCACAAATTTATTACTGTTACTTTCAACATTTAAGTAACATTTATTTTCGAAAAAATTGTAAGATAAATAATATCGTCAATTCCCTCCAGGGGAAAAGATTTAGCAGTTGGATTCGCTATAATTGTTTTTAGATAGAATAGTGAGAATTATTATTTTTAATTTTAATTTCTTTAATTACGTCCAAAATTGGCGTCGAAGTACTATTTAGTGTAACCCAAGTCTGTTGACGTCATATATAAGACTGAGCTTAATTGTGTTCATGGACACCCGACCTTAAGGTTAATTATTATGTGGTCAACACAAGTCGCAGTACAGTGAAAGTCTTCAAAACAATGTGTTGCACTCAGCTTCGGTATTTTATTTTTTTGTCTTTGGTAGCTGCTACCATAGGATCTGTAAGTACTGGATACCTGTTTTGTCAATTTAGTTCTACATTTTCAACTAATACAACGTTCATAAACTAAAAAATTCTTTTAAGTCTGAAGTCGTTTCAACCACACAAACTCCAACCATTAACACAGAAAAACGTCTGAGATCGCTGGAACTACAAGTTACACTTCTGGAAGAAAAATTAACAACATGTCCGAAGAACGATTTAGAACCCCTTCATTTTCTGACCACATATCCAAGAGACTGTAAAGTATACCAGGAAAAAGGTGCCCAAATGAACGGTCTCTATCGGATCCTGCTGGATCCTTCCCAGGACTCCTTTTTGGTGTTTTGTGACATGCACACCCGAGGAGGAGGATGGACCTACTTGATGAACAGGTACGACGGTTCCCAAAATTTTGATATGGGGTGGAACGAATACCAGGAAGGATTTGGTAACTTGAATGGAGAGTTTTGGTTAGGTTTAGAAAAAATGCACAGACTTACGGGTAATAATGGGACGTTATTTTTACCACATTGATCAACGTTTTGTTCCAGAAAGTACCCAAATCAGTGAACTCTTGGTTGAACTGGTGGATTGGGACGACAACAAAGTCTACGCCCTCTACAATTACTTTAAAATTGGTGGAAGGAACGACGGCTATAGGTTGAAAGTGGTCGGTTACAGTGGTACTGCTGGAGATTCTTTGGTTGGTCATGATGGTCAAAAATTTAGCACGATGGATAAAGACCAAGACAAACACAATACAACACATTGTGCACTTATAGATCGTAAGTAAGTCGGTTTCTAATGTTGGATTAGGATTGTTGTTGTTTTAGATGGTGGTTGGTGGTACAATAGTTGCTTTTTGTCTAAACTTACTGGAAAATATTTGAAAGCCACAGGAGCTAATTATCTCGGAATACATTGGAACAGTTTTCGCCCATCTAATACATACAGTTTGAAACAAGTAAGGATGATGATCAGAGGAAGGGAATTATGGTCGTGAAGACAATAGAGTCTTTCTTTCAAAATTCTGTTTTATTTAAATCTTTACCAACATCTTGACCTCCTTCAAACTATACCTGTACCCGTGGAATTCTGAGTAATGTATGCCATCTCCGAACGACTTTATCTCGCCTTTGAGGTACTTCCCGGTGAGTTTGACGTGAAAACACCCAGGACCGTACCACCAAGGTCCGTCTAAAAACACACTTTATGCCAAAACCTTTCCAGATTTTTCAAACTCACGATAAGTTTCGACGCAACTTCCATAAGTATCTTGCCTATCCAGAGTGTTAAATCTCCAGTTGAGGTGACTCGTGAAAGAGACTCCACCGTCTCCACTGTACCCTTGGATGACCTTTATCAAATAGCTCTCCTCTTCGTTTCAAATCAAAAAATCCAAAAATCCACAAAACGAAAAATCTAAAATTTAAAAAATCGAGACATTGAAATATTGAAAAATTGAAAAATCCAGGCAGTAAAATTTAAATATTAATTTTGGGAATTTTTCCATTGAAAACTTGAAAAATCGAGAAACTTAAAAACAAAAACAAACAGTAAATCGAGAAACTGAAAAATCGAAACATCGAAAAATTAGAAGCTCGAAAAATATGTAAAACATCGAAAAGCCTCAAACTCAAAAATTCGAAACATCGAAAAACCTGGAAATCGAAACATCAAAAGATTGAAAAAAAACGAGAAATCGAGAAGCTAAAATAAAAAAAAAAATGAAAAAACGAAAACCCGAACAATCGAAAAATTTGAAGACCTGAAAACCTGAAAAATTGGATCACCCAGAAATGAAAAAATCGAAAAATCTGAAAGTCGAAAGCTCAAAAAATCGAGAAATCGAAAAGTTAATATCAATCGAGAAATCAAAAAAATAAAAAATTTAAAAAACAGAATACCAAGAAATCAAGAATTTGAAAAATCGTGGAATTGAAGAATCTAAGGTTTGAAAAATCCAAAAACTGAAATATTTGAGAAATCAAAAGATCCACAATCGAAACATCAAAAATCGGAAAATCTAAATTTAAAAATCTAAAAATCGAGAAATCCACAATTCGAAAATCTAAAATTAAAAAAATCGAAATATTAAAATATCGAAAAATTGAAAAATCCAGAAATGGAAAATCTGAAATATCGAGAAAAGTCAACATATCGAGAAATGAAAATATATATCTATATTTAAAAATCTGGAAAATTGAAACATCGAAAAACTTAAACCAAAAACAGGGAAATCGAGACCACAAAAAATCGGAAAATCTAAAAATTAACAAACTGAAATGCCGAGAAATCAAATCATCAAGATGGAGAAACCGAGGATCGCAAAAAGTTGAGAAGCCGAAAAATCAAAAAATGGTTAAACCGAAATTGAAAATAGAAAAACTGAAAACACGAAAATTTAAAAACCGAAAAATTGAAGAATCCTGAAATGTAAAATTTAAACACGGAGAAATGAATAAAAAAACGGGAAATCAAGAAACCAAAAAGACAAAATTTAATATATCAAAGTAAAATATCAAAAAATTGAAGAATCGAAAGTTGAAAAAAAACTGAAATATCGAGAAATTCCTAAATCGATAACTGAAACATCGAAAAACCGAGGAATTGATAAAGGTAAAATCGAGAAATCGGAAAGGCGAAAGTTCAAAAAATCGAGAAAACAAAAAGTCAAAAAATAAAATTGATCAAGAAATCAAAAAAAATTGAAATTTCGAAAAATTCAGTAATTGAAAACTTGAAAGATCGAGCAATCGGAACATCAAAAATCGAAAAATCTAAAATTTGAAAATTGAAAAAGTAAGAAAATTGAAAAATCAATAAATCAAAAAATTGAAAACCAAAAATGGGGAAACCGAAAAATTGAAAAATCAAAACATCGAAATCTGGAAACCGGAAAATTGAAAACCTGGAAAATCGAAAATTTAAAAACCGAGAAATCGAAAAATCCGAAAATGCAAAATTTTAAATGTCGAAAAACCGAAAAACAGAGAAATCGAAAAGCTAAAATTTAAAATATGGGAAAATTACAATATCGAAAAATTAAAATATCAAAAATTGAAAAACTGAAAACTTTAAAACTCGCAAAACTCAAATATGAAAAAATTCATAAAACAGTAGATCGAAGAAAAATTGTAAAATCGAGAATCCGAAAATTCGAAAAATTGAAAAATCAAAAAGCCAAAAAATTGTAAAATTAAAACATTGAAAACATGACAATTCGAGAATTCCAAACATCGAAAAATCGAAAAATCGAGCAATGGAAAAAAAGAAAATATGAAAAATTGAAAAACCAAAAAATTGAGAAATCGAAAAACAAAAAAATTGCGAAATCTAAAATTTGAAAAATCCCAAAACTCAAATTTCGAAAAATTCAGTAATTGAGAAATTCAAAAATCAAAATCCAAACATCAAAAATAAAAAAAATTATAATCAAAAAATCCAAAAATCCACAAACCGAAAAATCTAAAATTTAAAAAATCGAGACATAGTAAAATTTAAATATTAATTAAATAAATTACTAAAAAAAACAGTAAATCGAAGAATTGAAAAATCGAAACATCTCGAAAAATTAGAATATCGAAAAATATGTAAAACATCGAAAAGCCTCAAACTCAAAAATTCGAAACATCGAAAAAACTGAATGTCGAAAAGTATAAAAATTAAAAATAGAGAAATTGAAAAACTGAAAAATAAAAAAAAACGAGAAATCGAGAAGTTAAAATAAAAAAAAAATTGAAAAATAGAAAACCTGAAGAATCGAAAAAATTCAAGAACTGAAAACCTGAAAAATTGGAACACTGAGAAAAAATCCAAAAATCTAAAGGTCGAAATCTCAAAAAAGCAAGAAACCGAAAAATTAATATTAATCGAGAAGTCAAAAAATCAAAAATTCAAAAATCGAAAAATTGGAAAATCATAAAACTGAAACATCAAAAAATTGGAAAATCGAAAAATCTTAAAGTCAAAAATTCATTACGTTAAAATATCTAAAAATTATCAAACTGAAACGCCGGGAAATCAAAACATCAAGATGGAGAGAAATCAAGAATGGCAAAAAGTTGAGAAGTCGAAAAATCAAAAAATGGTTAAACCGAAATAGAAAATAGAAAAACTGAAAAAACGAAAATTTAAAAATCGAAAAATTGCAGAATCCTGAAATGTAAAATTTAAAAATAGAAAAATGAAAATCTGAAAAATAAAAAAACGGGAAATCGAGAAATCAAAAAGCCCAAATTTAATAAAATAAAATTTCAAAAATTTGCTAAAGCGATAAATAGAATATTGGAAGAAAAATTTTATCGAAAAACTCAAAAATTTCTAAACTGAAACATCGAAAATCTGAGGAATCGAAAAAGGGAAAATCGAGAAATCGGATAGGCGAAAAATCGAAAAATCCGAGAATGGAAAATTTAAAAAATTGAAACATCGGGGAATCAAAAATCAAAATCAAAAAACCTGAAAATCGAAAGTCCAAAAAATCGGGAAAACGAAAAGTCAAAAAATTAATATTAATCAAGAAATCAAAAAGATTGAAATTTCGAAAAACTGAGTAATTGGAAACTTAAAAGCTCAAGCAATCGGAGCATCAAAAATCGAAAAGTCTAATATTTAAAAACGTGAAAAGTAAGAAAATTGAAAAAAAATCAAAATACCAAAAAATTGGAAAATCGATAAATAAAAAAGGTTCAAAGTCAAAAATTCGAAATATCGAAAAACCAGGAAATCGAAATATAGAAAAATTAACAAATCAAAACATCGAGACATCCAAACATCAGAAAGTGGAACAATAGAAAATTTATAAATAGAAAAAAATTTAAATTTAAATTTAAAAAAATCGATAAATCAAAAAATTGAAAATCAAAAATGGGGAAACCGAAAAGTTGAAAAATCCGTAAATGCAAAATTTAAAAATCGAAAAACCTAAAAATCATGAAATAGAGAAATCGAGAAATCGAAAATCTAATATTTAAAAATCGAAAAATTAAAATATCAAAAAATTGAAAAACTGAAAAATTTTAAACTCCCAAAACTCAAATATGAAAAAATTGATAAAACGATAAATCGAAGAAAAATTGAAGATTCGAAAAATTATAAAATCGAGAATGCGAAAAATCGAAAAATTGAAAAATCGGGCAATGTAAAAAAATTGAAAACATATCGTTAATAGAATAGCTATTATTGCTTTTAGATAGAATTATTATTTTTAATTTGAACTTTGATCAGAGGAAGGGAATTATGGTCGTGAAGACAATAGAGTCTTTCTTTCAAAATTCTGTTTTATTTAAATCTTTACCAACATCTTGACTTCCTTCAAACTATACCTGTACCCGTGGAATTCTGAGTAATGTATGCCATCTCCGAACGACTTTATCTCGCCTTTGAGGTACTTCCCGGTGAGTTTGACGTGAAAACACCCAGGACCGTACCACCAAGGTCCGTCTAAAAACACACTTTATGCCAAAACCTTTCCAGATTTTTCAAACTCACGATAAGTTTCGACGCAACTTCCATAAGTATCTTGCTTATCCAGAGTGTTAAATCTCCAGTTGAGGTGACTCGTGAAAGAGACTCCACCGTCTCCACTGTACCCTTGGATGACCTTTATCAAATAGCTCTCCTCTTCGTTTCCAACGCTGAATTTTTTGAAATGGGAATACACGGTTTTGTCGTCCCAGTCGGTAAGCACGAACAACAATTCGTTGGGTTTGGTACCTACAAAGTCCACTACCATCACATGACCATGACAAGTCAAAATTACCTGTCAACTCGTGCAGGTGCTTCAAACCCAACCAAAACTCCCCTTCCAGATTACCAAACCCGTCCTTGTAGTCAGTCCAATTTAAATAAAAATCTTGAGAACCATCAAACCGTCGCATGACGTAAGTCCACCCACCGCCTCTGGTATCCATATCACATTGAACCTTAAAGGGTTGAGAGGCACGTGGGGGTCGTATGGTATATATCCCACTCTTCGTGTTGCCTTGCTTCAAAACCTCTCTACAATTCCGGGCAAACTCTCCCCCAGTGGGCGAAATCGTGCTATCGTCATCCACTCCTCCCACTTTTTTCGTCACTCTTTCCAACCTATCATTCGTCGATTCCAACTTACTTTCAAACCCGTCAATCGCCTTCCTTGCCGCTTCTACATCCGAAGACACACCATTGAGGACATCCCGTTTGAACCCTTCCAAATCCGCAGCCGAAAACTTTGTCGGTTCGTTGCGCTTTTTCTCGATTTCGTTCACCAAGTCGTCTTTTATCTGTTGTAGTTTGTCTTCGACTTGACCAGACGCGTTTCCGCAAGTCTTGTACAATTTCAACGCCTCCTCCACCACTTTTCCAATTTTTGAAAGGTCGCTTGAGTCCACCGTCGCCGTGATGTCCCTTTCTAGCTTCACCCCGTGAAGTTTCAACAACTTCTCCAGAGCTCGTTGAATCTGGGTCATGCGTACCTCAAACCTCTCCAGTCGGTCCTTCATTGTCGCGAGAGATTGGCGGATTTCGAGCTGGTCGTCGAAGATGAGTTTGTCGGTTGGAGAATGTGGCGAGGCGGTTGTTGAAATGACTGCGAACTAAATAAAAAAGTGTTGGAAATGTGTGGGGTCAAAGGTTGGCTTACTTTTCGGTCTTCATTTTGCTCTGAATTTGCTGAAAGTGTGAAGAGGGCTGCGATTAGTGATAGGTGTAGTTTCAAATCCATGGTTTAACTGTGAGCTGTTTTGTGGGTAAATTCCGGGCGAGTTTTACGTAAATGATAAGAGGAGTCGTAGGTCGCGTCCTTAGTGATAAAGTGGCTTCTTCACCGGGAAAAACCCAGTTTTCGAAATGTTGTTTTGTTTTATTTTTGGGACTGTGGTGTTTCAAGGTTCATAAAAATATGTAACCGACGGTGGTTCATTGAAAAAGTTGAAAAACTAAAGAAACTGAAAAATCAAAACGTGCGAAAATTCAACAATTATAATTTGAAATTTGAAAAAATGAAAAATTTAAAAACTGAGAAATTGAAATCAAAAATGCAACATTCAAAATATCCAAAATTTGAAAAATCTGAAAATTGAAGAATCTGAAGATCATGAATTTGAAATTTGTCTCAACTGAAATGATGATAGATTGAAAAATCGAAAAACTGAAAAGCCGAAAATGGAAAAATCAAAAAAAATAGAAATTGAAAAAATATAAAATCAAAAATTTTGAAAATCGAAAAATTGAAAAACAGAAAAATCGAGGAACCAAAAAATCCAAAAATTTAAAAATCTAAATTGAAATGTTAAGATGTGAAGAAATCGTAACATTGTAAAATGAAAAAATGTAAATTTTAAAAAATGAAAAACTGAAAAATAAAAAGCTGAAAAATCAAACATTTAAGAATTCGGAAAAATTGAAAAATATAAATATCGAACTCTAAAAATCGAAAAATTTAAATAAAATATCGAAAAACTGAACAAAAGATAAATTGAAAAATCAAAAAATCGGAAGAAATTCAACATTTAAAAAATCGAAAATTCTAGAAATCGAAAAACTGAAAATCGAGAAATTGAATCATTGAAAAATCAAAAAGGTCAAATAATCGAAAAGTTAAAAACTGCATAATTTAAAAATATAAAAATTCGATAAATCGAAAAATTGAACAATCGAAAAATCGAAATTTGGAAATCTAAATAAATCGAGAAACTTAAAAAATAAAAAATCAAAAATTTTGAAAATCTGAAAATGGAAAAACAAAAATCTAAAGATTTGGAAATCGAAACATCAAAAAATCAAAAAATTGAACAACTCTCACAATTGAAAATGTATTGAAAATTTGAGAAATCTGAAAAACCAAAAAAAGAAAAAATTTAAAAATCGAAAAACCGATGTGAAAATTCGAAGCATTACAGATTCGTAAAACTGAAAACATCGGTAGAACGTGATATTTAAAAAATCGAAAAATGAAAAAAACCCGAAAGTCAAAAATTCAAATTTTGGAAAATTGAAAAATAGAAATATCGAAGATTCGAAAAGTCAAAAAATCGAGTATTCAAAAATTGGAAAATGCAAAAATTCAATAATCTATAATTTAGAAATTGAAAAACTTAAAAATCTAAAAATCGAGAAATTGAAACAAAAAAATCAAAATTTAACACATCCAAAAATTGAAAAGTCTGAAAATTAGAATCTATAGACTGAAAAATCAAGAAATTGAAATATGCCACAACTGAAATAACGATAGATTGAAAAATCGAAAACTGAAAAGCCGAAAATTGAAAAATCAAAAATCCCAGAAATCGAAACTTCGAAAAATTCAAAAACCCAAAATTTAAAAATCGAAAAATTGAAAAATGGGAAACTTGAAGAATGAAAAACTGAAAAATCAAGAAATCGAGATGCGCCAAAACAATCGAAAAGTTGATAACTGAAAACTGAGTATTTTTAAATTAAATTTAAATTTAAAAAATCGAAAGAGCGTAATATTTACGAAATCGAAAATTGGAAAAAACCCAAATATCAAAAAAATCACATTTTGAAAAACTGAAAAATAGAAACAATTGAAAAGTCGAAAATGTAAGAATCAAAAACCGAGAAATTTCAATAAAAAATTCAAAATTTAAAGATCCAAAAAATGAAAAGTTTTAAAATAGAAGAATGTATAGACTGAAAAATCAATAAATTAAAATATGTCACAAGTGAAATGACGATAGACTGAAAAATCAAAAAACTAAAAAGCCGAAAATAAAAAAATCGAAAATCTCAGAAATTGAAAACTCGAAACATCGAAAAATTCAAAAACTGAAACTTCGAGAAATCCAAATATTAAAGATTGAGAAATCGAAAAATTAAAATATCGATAAATCAAAAATTTCAGAAATTGAACAATCAAAAGATGGAAACATGGAAATTTTAATAAATCGAAAAAATAAAAAATCAAAATCTAAAAAATTCAAAAACTTAAAAACACGAAGAATGAAAGACTGAAAAATCAATAAATCGAAAAATTAAAAATCGAAAAATCGAGAAATTGAACAAGCAAAAATCGAACATCGATATATCGAGAAATCGAAGCATTGAATAATCGAAAAAGGTCAAAATCGAATCATCGAAAAGTCAAAAATTGCAAAACTTTAAATTAAAAAGATTCTGTAAATCTAAAAATTGAACCATTAAAAAAATCTAAACTTGGAAGTTGAAAAAATAAAAAGTCAAAAATTTTTAAAATAGGAAAATTTAAAACCAGATAAATCCAAATCGTGAAACTTCGAATATCGCAAAATAGAGAATCTGAAGAAAATAAAAATTGAAAAATCAAAAAATCTAAAAATGCATAAATTCGAAAATCTATAATTTAAAAATTGAAAAAATGAGAAATCGAAAAACCGACAAATTGAAAACAAAAATTCAAAATTTAAAAACTCCAAAAATTGAAGTATCTAAAAACTGAAAAATTAAGACATTGAAATATGCCAAAAGTGAAAGAACGATAAATTAGAAAACGCAAAGTCGAAAAATCAAAAATCCCAGAAATCGGAAAAATCCAGAAACTGAGACTTCGGAATTGACAAATTTACATTGAAAAATTCGATAAATCAAAAAATCGATTTTTATTTTTTTTTGAACAATCAAAAGATGGAAACATTGAAATCTTGATAAATTGAAAATTAAAAAAAATGAAAATTCAGAAACTTAAAAATTCAAAAACCTATAATTTAAAAATCGAAAAATTGAAATATGGGAAATGTGAAGAACAAAATACTGAAAAATCAAAACATCGAAAAGTGGAGGATTTTTAAATTAAATTTAAATTTAAAAAAATCGATAAATCTAGAAATCGAGAAATCAAGAAATTGAACATTTAAAAATCGAACATCGACGTATCGATAAATCGAGAAATCGAAACAGTGGAAAATCGAAACAGGCCAAAATGGAAAAATCGACAGTTAAAAATTGAAAAATTTAAAATTAAAAAAAATCGATAAATCGAAAAATCTAGAAATTGACAGTAAAAAAAGCGAAACCTGGAAAATCGATAAATCGGGAAATTGAAAAAATTAAAACTTGAATAACTAAAAACCGAAAAATCAAAATTTTGAAAATCGGAAAACTGAAAAACAAAAATCGAAATCCGGAAAGTTAAAAAAATCGAAAGATCGAGCAGTTAAATCATCAAAAAATTGAAAAACTAAAATGGAAAAATTAAAATATCCAAAAACTGAAAAATCCTCACAATCGAAATATTGAGAAATTGAGAAATCTAAAATTGAAAGTCGAAATATTTAAAAAATCCAAAAACCGAATGCCGAGAATTCGAAACATCACAAATAATATTTAAAAAATCGAAAATTGAAAAATAAAGAACTCAAAAATCAAAAATCTCAAATTTTGAAAAACTGAAAGACAAATATCGGAAACTTAAAAAGTCGAAAATTCGAGGAATCCAAAAAAAAAATAAAATGTCAAAAAATTTAGCAACGAAAAATTAAAAAATCGAGAAATCGAAACATCAAAAATGTAAAATTTTAAAATTGAAAAATCGATAAGTAGGAAAGTCAGAAAACCCAGAATTCCAGAAATCGGAAATCCAAAATTTAAAAAATCGAAAATTTAAAAATGTTTAAAATCTAAACAGAAAAATTCAAAACTGAAACATCGACCATTAAGAAAGATCAGCAGATTTAGAAATCGAAAAGATGAAAAGTTGAAACATTGAGAAATCGAAAAATCGCGAATCTTAACAATCAAAAAATCGAAACTCGGAATTTTGATAAACCTGAAAAAATGAAAAATCGGAAAACTCAAAAATAGGAAAATTTAAAAACGGAGGAATTGAAAAATCGAAAAATACAAAATTTTAAACAGCAAATAATTAAAATATCGAAACATTAAAAAATTCTAAAATTGTTGAAAAATCAGAAAATCGAAAAATTGAGAAATCAAAAAAGCCGAACACGAAAAATAGAAAAATTAAAACTTGAAAATTTGAAAAATTGCAACAAAAAAATCCATAAAATTCGAAAAATCGAGAAATTGAACAATGAAAAAATCGAAACAGGCTAAAATTAAAAAATCAGAAAGTAAAAAAATTAAAATCCATAAATCGAAAAATTTAAAAATTGAAAATTCGAAAAATCGGACAACTGAACAATCTAAAAATCGAAACAGAAATATCGAGAAATCGAGACATCTATAAAATGAAAAAACCGAAAATCGAAACCAAAATACTGAAAAATTGAAAGATCAAAAATTTTAAAAATTGAAAAATTGAAAAACCGAAAAATCTGAGACCGAGAGAAGTTTTAATAAGTGAAAAATTTGTACATTAAAAAAATAAAAAATCGAGAAATCAAAAAATTGAAAAATTCAAAAATCTAAAATTTAAAAATGGAAACTCGATAAAGTAGATCTAGAAATCGAAAAATCGAAAAGCAAAAAAATAGAAAAATTAAAAAATCGAAATTCATAGTGAAAATTTACATATCGAAATATTGAAAAATCCAGAAATTGTAACATCGAAAAATCGAAAAGTTAAAAAAAACAAAAATTAAAAATCAAAATCCTGAAAAATAAAAGAAATTAAAATTGTAAAACTGAAGCGTCCGAAAATTCAGAAATAGACTAATGAAAAAATCGGGAAATCGAAAATTTGAAAATTCGAGAAATTGAAGAACCGAAAAACATTTAAAACTCCCAACACTGAAATATCGAATAATTGAGTAATCAAAATACAAAAAATGGAGAAATTGAAAAATCAAAAAATTGAAAAAAAAGAGAAATTCCGAAACTGAAATTACGAAAAATTGCCAAATCAAATTTTCGATTTTCCGATTTCTCAATTTCTCGGTTAATCGATTTTTTGGTCTTTCAAGTTTTAGATTTCTCGATTTCTCGATTTTTCGAACTTTCAGGTTTTTGATTTTTCGATTTTTAAAATTTTTTTCAACATCGATTTTTCAACTTTACGATTTCTCAATTTCTCAATTTTTTGATTGCGCAATTTTTCGATATTCCAATTTTGGGATTTTTCAGTTTTACGATTTATCAATTTTTCTTCCATTTTTTAGTTTTTCGTTTTTCGGGAAAATTGAGAATCCTAAAAGGCAACAATTCGAAAAATTTTAATTTTCTTTACAAAAAGTTCCATGTCCAATATAAAAGTTTATCACGAATTCCTAAACAACAAATGGGGGAATACGTTTTTTATAAAAAACTGAGGATTTTTAAATTAAATTTAAATTTAAAAAAGCGATAAATCCAAACACTGAAAAATCGAAAAAGGCCAAAATCGAAAAATCAAAGAGTTAAAAATTGAAAAATTCAAAATTAAAAAAATGCGATAAATCGAAAAATTGAACATCAGAAAATCGAAACTGGAACAGAAAAGGAAACCTAAATAAATCGAGAAATTGAAAAAATAAAAAATCAAAAATTTTGAAAATCCGAAAATTGAAAAACAGAAATCGAAATCGTGAAACTTCGAAATATTGAAAAATTGAGAAATCTAAAAAAACGGTGTCGAAAGGTCTTAAAAATCGAAAAACCGATGTCAAGAATTCGAAACATCATGGATTCGTAAAATTGAAAAAATTGGAAAAACGTAATAAGTATTTATAAAATCGAAAATTGAAAAAAAAACAAAAATAACAAAATTAGTATTTTGAAAAATTGAAATACAGAAATATCGAATAAATGAAAAGTCAAAAAATCGAAGAATCAAAAACCCAGAATTCCAGAAATCGAAAATCCAAAATTTAAAAAATCGGACAATTAAAAAATATATTATTAGTAGAAAAATTCTCAAAATTGAAATATTAAGATGTGAAAAAATCGTACATGGTATAATCAAAAAATGTAAATTTTAAAAAATGAAAAACTGAAAATTAAAAAACCTGAAAAATCGAAAAATTTAAATAAAGTATCGAAAATTGAAGAAAATAAAAGATGAAAAATCCAAAAATCGAAACATGCAGAAATTCGAAAATCTATAACTTGAAAATTGAAAAAATGAAATACGAAAAACCGAGAAATTGTAAACAAAAATTCAAAATCTAAAAAATCCAAAAATTGAAGAATCTAAAAACTGAAAAATTAAGAACAAATGTGCATGTCAACACTGAAATGACGATAAATTGAAAAATGGAAAATTTGACAAGCCGAAAAGTGGAAAAATCAAAAATTCCAGAAATCGAAAAATCGAAACATCGAAAAAATAAAAAAACTGAAACTTCGAAAAGTTAAAAATTGAAAAATTTAAAATGAAAACATCGATAAATCAAATATTTTCAAAATCGGAAAATTGAAGAACATAAAAATCGAAATCCCGAAAGTTAAAAAAATCGAAAAATTAAAATATCCAGGAACTGAAAAATTTTCACGATCGAAATTTTGAAAAATTGAGAAATCTAAAATCGAAAGTCGAAAGTTTTAAAAAATCCAAAAACCGATATGTCAATTCGAAACAGCACCAATTCGTAAAACTGAAAAATCGGAAGAAAGTAATATTTAAAAAACCGAAAATTGAAAAATAAAGAACTCAAAAATCAAAAATTTCAAATTTTGAAAAATTGAAAAACAAAATGAATATCGAACACCTGAAAAGTCGAAAATTCGAGGAATCAAAAAATCGAAAAATCGTAGATTTTTAAGAATTGAAAGATTAAAATGTCCAAAAATTGAACGAAAATTCTAAACATCAAAAATCTAAAATTTAAAAACTGAAAAATCGATAACTTGGAAAATCGAAAAACCCAGAATTCCAGAGATTGAAAATCCAAAATCTAAAAAATTAAAAAATTAAAAAATCGAAAAATTGTAAAATCGAAAATGTGAAACCGGGAAATCGAAAAATCTAAATAGAAAAATTCAAAACTGAAACATCGAAAAATAGAAACAGCAGATCTAGAAATCTAAAAGTCGAAAAGTCGAAACATTGAGAAATCGAAAAATCCAGAAACTGAACAAAAAATTAGAATGTCGTAAAACCGAACAATTTAAATTCGCGAAATCTATAACTCGAATAATTGAAAAATCGAAAAAGGCTAAAATCGAAAAATCGGAAAATAAAAAATTTTAAATTCACAAACCGAAAAATTTAAAAACTGGAAAATCGAAACATCTAAATATAGAGAAATCGAGACATTTATAAAATAAAAAATACAAAAATCAAAACTAAAAAATTGAAAAATCGAAAAATCAAAAATTGAAAACATCCAAAAATTAAAAAAAACCGAAAAATCTAAAGCTTTAAAAAGCGAGACATTTATATATCGAAAAAATAAAAAATCGAGAAGCTAAAAATTTCAAAAATTCAAAAATCTAAAATTTAAAAATGAAAAATCGAAAAACAGAAAAATGGAAAAATTGAAAAGTCGGAATACATGTTAAAAAATTTGGAAATCCAAACATTGAAATATCCAGAAATCGAAACATCGAAAGATCGAAAAATTAAAAATCAAAAACCTGAAAATAAAAAAATTGAAAATCGTAAAACTGAAGAATCAGAAAATTCGGAAATCAAAGAATGAAAAAATCGGGAAATCGAATATTTGAAAATCCGAGAAATTGAAAAAGCGAAAAAATTTAAAACTCCCAACACTGAAGTATCGAAAATCTAACTAATCGAAATACAGAAAATCGATAAATTGAAAAATCGAAAAATTGAACAATTCCAAAACTAAAAGAACGAGAAATTCCCAAATCGAATTTTCGATACCTCAGTTTTGGGATGTTTCAATTTTATCAAATCGAAAATTTCAAAAATCGAGAAATTGATAAAATGTAAATATTATTTACTACTGTAAAATTTTTAGACGACGTCATTCCATTGTTGGTGGGAATGAGCAGACAAATTTTGGTTAACGTTTTACCATCTACATGAATACAAAATTAGGGGTCATGAAACGTCGAGAAAAAATGAAAATATTCTACAAACTACAAACATTTCTTCGCTTACACTGGAAAAGCAAAAATACTGTCTGGTGCGGGATTCGAGCCCACGTTCTCTTTCGAGAATCAGAGCTTGACTTCTGTTGTGCAAAACACAAACACAAACTAAAATTGAAACAAGCCAAGAGTGAGTTTTTCAATAAAGTCTTCTAAAACTAAAACTAAATTAAATACTGAGACATATATTTTTCCAACATTTATTTACGACCAAATACAGAACCAACTATGCCTTAACCAACATCTTGACTTCCTTCAAACCAGCCTTGAACTCGTGGAAATTTGAGTAAGTGAGTTCGAAAAAGAAACACCGAGGTCCATACCACCAAGGTCCACCTAAAACACAAAACCTCCCTACAAAGCCTCCCTATACCTAAAACTTACGATAAGTCTTGGCGCAGCTTCCATAAACACCCTGTCTATCTAACGTGCTAAATTTCCAGTTCAGGTCAGTCGTGACGGTTTGTTCACCATCTTCGCTATAATTTTCGACTGACCTTACAGCATAGCTCTCTCCCTCGCTTCCGATGCTGAATTTTTTGAAATGGGAATAGTCGGTTTTATTTTCGTAAATAAACACAAATAGGAGTTCTTTGGGAACGTCACCTGCAACCACAATCTCGTCACGTGCTTACCACCCATCCAGAAATACCTGTGAACTCGTACAGATGCTCCAAACCCAACCAGAACTCTCTATCTAGCTCACCAAAACCATTCCTGTAGTCAGTCCAGTTTAAGTAAAAATTTTGGGAACCGTTGAACCGTCTCATGAAGTGGACCCAGCCACCACCTTGTGTGTCCATGTCGCACAGAACCGTAAACGGTTCACGGGCTCGAGATGGTTGTATGATATAGAGTCCACTGTTGACGCTCCCTTGGTCGAAAAGGTCTTTACAACCCTCGACAAACTCTTCATCGTCGGGCAAAACTATGAGTGCTTCGTTCTCCTGGATTACCTGCTTCCGACGACGTTTTCCATTGTCCACCACGTCGGTAGACAATGTGTTTCTGTCAATTGCACTTATCAAATCGTCTTTTAGTCGTTCCAATTCTTCGATTTCGCACGATTTGTCTGAAACGATTGTCTTCTCGACCACTTGTGCGATTTTTGCGAGGTCATTGGGTTCCACTGGTTCTGAAAAGTCTTCTTCCGTTATCACCTCGTGAAGAGCCAACAGTTTGTCTAGGTACCTTTGAACTTGAGTCATCTTGAGCTCGAATTTTTCCAAGCGGTTCTTCGTCTCGACGAGGGTTTCTCGGATTTCGAACTTCAAGTTTGCGACTTCGGTAAGTTGGTCATCGTTTTGCTGGGATTTTACACAAAGTGTCCAGAGAGCGGTGATTAGGAGTAGCTTCAAGTCCATGATGTAACAGCGATTAAAGTTGTGGTGTTTTGGTCGTTCAAATATAGTAATGAAATTTGAACGATAAAGGAGTCAGAGTTCACGCTTAACAATTTGATCGACACGTCTTTTCCGGAGTATATTATTTAAAGAAGTAGTTGAACATAGATAAATCTAATTTTGATCCATTTTACCTTTGATCCATTTATCTTTATCATTGTAACTTCTAACATGAACCACATCCCCCTCTAACAATATTACGTTTCTGTCTCTAAAAACTCTCAAACTATGGGATGACGATGATAAGGTGGAGTAAAACTTACTTAACTTTACTTCATCATAAAATGCTTTAAATTCTGATTAAATCAAACTAGTACCATCTTTAGAATACCAAAATTTACAATTTTCTCGATTATTTAATTTTTTGTTTTCTAAATTCTCGATTTCTCGATTGTTTCGATTTTTTAGTTTTTCAGTTCATTAATTTTCGAATTTTCAAGTTTTGGATTTTTAAATTTTGGATTTTTCTTCCATTTTGCAACTTTTCGATATTTCAGGTTTTGAGATTCTCGACTTTTAGCTTTTTTTCGATTTTTAAACGATAGATTTTTCAAATTTTCGACTTTTTGATGTTTCGATTTATCCTCTAGGTTTCGGATTTTTCGGTTTTTCAACTTTCGATTTCACAATTTTTCGATATTTCAGTTTTTTATTTTTCAATTTTTCAATTTTTTGATTACTCAATATCCTCAAATTTCACGTTTCTAGATTTTTTCATTTTGCAATTTCTCAATTTTCCACTTATTTCGATTTTACGATTTTTCAATTTTTGACGATTCTAAATTTTCGATTTTCCGATTTCTCAATTTCTCGATTAACCCATTTTTTGGTCTTTCCGGTTTTCGATTTCTCGATTTCTCAATTTTCAATTTTTGACGTTTTTGATTCTTCGATATTTTAAATGTTTTAACTTTCTTCTTGGAATTTCCAACTTTAGGATTTATCGATTTATCAGTTTTTGATTCCTCAGTTTTTCGATTTTCCAATTTTGGAATTTTTTCAATTTTTCGATATGTGAGTTCCATATTTCGATTATTCAATTTTTCGATTTTTCAACTTTTCAATTTCTCGATTCTTCACTTCGATATTTAAGTTTAGTAATTTTTCAATTTGTTTGGATTCTTCAATTTTTATGTCATGATTTTTCGATTTTTCAATTTTTCGAATGTTCAATTTTTCGATGTTCCACTTTTCGAATTTTTCAATTTTTCGGTTCAACAATTTTTCTTCCATTTTTCCATTTTACGATATTTCAGTTTTGGAATTTTTCCAAATTTTGATTCTTCAATTTTTCGATGTTTCGATTTTTGAATTTTTTGGTTTCCCGATTTTTAGTCATTTCATTTTTAGAATTTTTCAATACTCCATATTTTAGTTTCAGAATCTGTCAATATTTTGATTCTTCAACACTTTTTTATCATTTGATTTCTTTAATTTTTCTAATTCTTGAATTATTGGATGTTCGAGTTTTCGAATTTTTCAATTTTTCGATTCATCAACTTTTATTCGATTTTTCGACTTTTCGGTTTTTTGATTTTACCGTTTTTTATTCGTTAATTCGTTTTATCAATATCCAAATTTTTCGATTTTTCAATTATTCTTCAATTTTTCAATTTCTCAATATTTCAGTTTCGGAATTTTTCAATATTTCGAATCTCCAATTTTTCGGTTTTTGACTTTCCGATTCTTCGATTTCTCGATTTTTAAATGATAGATTTTTCAATTTTTCATTTTTTTAACTTTTGATTTTTCGATTTTTGAATTTCTCAACTTATCGATCTCTCAAACTTTTTAGGGGTTTCATTTCTGAATGTTTTAGTTTTTGAATTTTTCGAAGTTGCGACTTTTCTGCCTTTCGATTTTTTGATGTTCCAATTTTTCAATGTTTCAATTTTTTTATTTTTCGGTTTCCCGAATTTTCGTTATTCAAGTTTTGGAATTTTTTAATTTCTGGATTTTTGTTCGTCTCGATTTTTTCCAATTTTCAAATTTTCGATTTATGAAATTTTGGATTTTCAGTTCCTCGATTTTTCGGTTCGTCGACTTTTCGATTTTTCAATTTTTTCGATTTTCGAATATTTCTATTTCTCGATTTTTCAATTTTTTAATTTTCCATTTTTTTCGACTTCTCGACTTATCGATTTCCCAGTTTTTCGAATTTTCAGGTGTTTGATTGCTCAATTTTTCGACGATTCTATTTGGAACTTTTCAATTTTTCTTCGATTTTTCTATTTCTGATACTTTAATTTTGTGATTTTTCCATATTTCGATTATTCAAGTTTTTGATTTTAAATTTCTCCATTTTTCGAATTTTAGACTTTTCGAATTTTCAGGTTTTTCATTTTTCGATTTCTAAATTTTAATTTTTCAATTTCTCGATTTCTCAATTTTCTAATTGCTCATTTTTCGACATTCCAGTTTTGGGATTTTTCAATTTTTCGATTCATCAATTTTTCTTCGGTTTTTCAATTTCTGAGATGTGAGTTGTTTATTTTTCCATATTAATGTAAATTAAAATGTAATTTAAATTAAATTCAATTTCTTGATATTTCAGTTTCGAAATTTTTCAATCTTTCGATTTAATTTTTCGATTTTTCGATTTTAAAATATAAGTTTTTCGGTTATTCAATTTTTCGACTTCTCAACGTTTCGATTTTTCGGTGTTTCAGTTTTTAAATTTTCCGCTGTTTCGACTTTTTGATTTCTCCCTTTTTCGATTTTTCGACTTATCTGCTTTTCGATATTTTGAATTGTCGATGTTTTGATTTTTTAATTTTTCGTCATTTTATTTTGGAATTTTTTAAATTCTCGATTTACTGTTTCTCGATTCTTCCATTTTACGATTTTCAGTTTTCGATTTTTTGATGTTTCGATTCTCGATGTTTCTGTTTTTTAATTTGTCGAAATTTTAATTTTCAATTTTTTATATTTCATATTTTTCGATTTCTCGATTACTTAATTTCAGATTTTTCCTACCTCAATTTTTGAATTATTCAGTTGCACAATTTTTCAATCTTTGCTTTTTAAACTTTTTTATTTTTCATCTTTTCGATTTTGCAATTTCTCATCTTTGACGTTTCTAAATTTTCGATTTCCCAATTTCCAATTTCGTTCATCGATCTTTTGGTCCTTCGAGTTTTCGATTTTCCGACTTCTCGATTTCTCAGTTTCTCGATTTCTCAAGTTTTTCAATTTCCGATTTTTAAATTTTTAGATGTTTCAATTTTCGACTGTTTCAATTTTACGATTCCTCAATTTTCCTTCGATATTTCGATTTTCCGATGTGATTCTTCTATATTTCGGTTCTTCAATTTTTTCGATTTTCCGACTTTTCGATTTTTCAATTTCCCAATGTTTTAATTTTTCCATTTTTCAATTATTCGTTTTTTTAATGTTTCGATCCCGCCATTTTTTAATTCTTTATGATTGATTTCTCGAATTTTCAATTTTTCGGTTGCTTAGTTTTACGTTGCTCCAGTTTTCAGATTTTTCAATTTTTCTTCCATTTTTCAACTTTTCGGTATTTCAGTTTTGAAATGTTTCCTTATTTGGATTCACCAATTTTTCTATTTCTCGATTTTTTGTTTCTTAATTTTTCTATTTTTCAATTATTCGAATTTTTGATGTTTCGATTCTTCGATTTGTGAATTTTTCAATTTCCCGATATTTCAGTTTCAGAATTTTTTAATGGTTCGACTCTTCAATTCTTCGATTTTTTGACTTTTAGATTTTTCGATTTCTCCACTTTTTAAGTTTTCGATTCTTAAATTATAGATTTTTCAATTTTTTGTGTTTAGATTTTTCGATTTTTCAATTTTTAGAATTTTCGGCTTTCCATCTTTTCGATTTCTCAAACTTTTGATATTTCAATTTCTCAATGCTTCAGTTTCTGAATTTTCCGATGTTTCGTTTTTTTAACTTTTCGATTTTCCAATTTTTCGTAATTTCAATTTGGAATTTTTTATTTTCCAAATTGAGTGTTTCTCGATTCTTCCATTTTCCGATTTTTCAACTTTTCGATTTACAAAGTTTTGGATTTTCAGTTTCTCGATTTTTCGCTTCTTCGACTTTTCGATTCATCAATTTTTCTTCAATTTTCCGATAAGTCAATTTTGTAAATTTTGCATATTTCGGTTTTTCAATTTTTCGATTTTTTGACTTTTCGATTTCTCGATTTTTTATTTTTTCGTTTTTTAAATTAGAGATTTTTCAATTTTTAAATTTTGTTGTTTAGATTTCTCCATTTTTCAATTTTTCCATTTTTCGGTTTCAGTGTTTCTTGATTTTTCGATGTTTTATTTTATAAAATTTTGGATTCTCAGCTTCTGAGTTTCTCGATTCTTCCAATTTCGATTTTTCAATTTTTCAGTTATTCGTTTTTCAGAACGTTTCATTTTTTCAATTTTTCAAAACTTTAATTCTTCGATATTTTTATTTTTCAGTTTTTTTTAAATCTGAAATTTTTCGATTTCTTGACAACTCGGTTTTTCGATTTTTACAATTTTTCACTTTTCGTTTTTTGGAATTCTTGATTTTTCAAGCTTCGATTTCTCGATTTCTCAATTTTCTAATTGCTCAATCTTTCGACGTTCCAGTTTTGAGATTTTACCATTTTTCGATTTATAAATTTTTCTTCGATTTTTCAGTTTTTCAATATTTCGATTTTCGAATTTTCTTTTTCTCAATTTCTTATATTTTGTATTTCTCAACTCTTAAATTTTTTTGATTCTTTCATTTTTGTTAATTTTTTAATTTGTTTATATTTCAATTTGGAATTGTTCCATATTTCGATTCTTCAATTATTCGATTTTTTGATGTTTCGATTTCTCGATTCTTCAATTTCCCTTCAATTGCTCAATTTTTCGATATTTCAATTTCGGAATTTTGCAATATTTCTATTCTTCCACTTACCGATTTTTCAAATTTTCGCTTTATAAAATTTTGGATTTTCAGTTTCTTGGTTTTTCGATCGATTTTTACAATTTTTCAACTTTTCGTTCATTGGAATTCTTGATTTTTCAAGCTTCGATTTCTGAATTTTTCGAATTCTCAGATTTTTAGTTTTTTGACTTTCATGTTTCAATTTTACGATTTCTCGATTTCTTAATTTTCCGATTGCTCAATTTTTCGATGTTCCAGTTTTGAGATTTTTCAATTTTTTGATTCATCAATTTTTTTTCAATTTTTTAATTTCCGACAGGTCAATTTTTTTAATTTTACGTATTTCGATCTTCAATTTTTCGATTTCTCGATTTTCAAATTTTATATTTCTTCGATTTTTCAATTATTTGGTTTTTTAATGTTTCGATTCCTGAAATTTTGAATTTTTCGATTCTTCAATTATTCTTCAATTTTTCAATTTCTTGATGAGTTCCGGAATTTTTCAATATTTCGATTCTTCAATTTTTCGGTTTTTGGCTTTTAGATTTCTCCATTTTTTAAATTTTCGTTTCTTAAATTATAAATTTTTCAACATTTTATGGATTTTTTAAATTTTAGAATTTTCAGCTTCTCATCTTTTAGATTTCTCAAACTTTTGATGCTTCAATTTCTCAATACTTCAGTTTTTGAATTTTTCATTGTTTCGTTTTTCGATTCTTCAATTTTTCTAGTTCTCGTCTTTTAATTTTTTCAATTTTTCAATTTTTTAATTATTCGATTTTTTGATGTTTTCAGGAATTTTGAATTTTTCGATTCTTCAATAATTCTTCAATTTTTCAATTAAGTATTCGATATTTTGTGTCTTAATTCATGGAATTTTGAATTTTTCCATTTTTCATTTATTCTTCCTTTTTCCAATTCCTTGATACTGGAGTTCCGGCTTTTTTTCATTTCTCAATTTTTAATTTTTTAATTTTTCTTTTGATGTTTCGATTCCTGGAATTTTGGATTTTTCAATTCTTCAACTATTATTTTTCAATTTTTTAATTTCTTGTTACTTCAGTTCCGGAATTTTTCAATATTTCGATTCTTCCATTTTCCCATTCATCAATTTTTCGTCAATTACCTATTTCTGGATTTTTATTTTTTTTAATTTTTCGATTTTTCAATTATTCGGTTTTTTGATGTTTTGATTTCTGGAATTTTGAATTTTTCGATTCTTCAATTATTCTTATATTTGGATTTTTCAATTTTTCGATTCTTTGACTTTTCGATTTTTCAATTTCTAGATTTTTTACTTCTTCGTTTTTTAAATTAGAGATTTTCAAATTTTTAAATCTTGTTTTGAATTTTCAATTTTCCAATTTTTCCATTTTACGATTCTTCAAATTATCGTTTTACAAAATTTTGGATTTTCAGTTTCTCAGTTTTTCAATTTTAATTTTTCGATATTTTCAGCGTTTTCAATATTTCAAATTTTTCAATTTCTTGACAACTCGGTTTTTCGATTTTTAAAATTTTCAACTTTCATTTTTCATGTTTTCGATTTTTGAATTTGTTAACACTTCAATTTCTGGAGTTTTCAATTTCTGAATTTCTCAATTTTTCGATATTTTTAGTTTCGTTTTGTCGATTTTTTTAATTTTTCAATTTTTCAATTTTCAGTTTTGGCCTATTTCGATTTCTAAATTTATCGATTTTTTGAGTTTTCGATTTGTAACAATTTTTAATTTTTTCGCGGCTTCGGTTTTTCAATTTTTCGATTATTTAAATTTGGGATTTTCTGTTTCTCGGTTTGTAGGTTTTTTGACTTTTCAGTTTTTCAAAGTTTGATTTTTTCCGAATTTTTAATATTTAATTCAGTTTTTTGAGTTTTCAATTTTTCGATTTTAAAAATTTTTTGACTTTCCATTTTTAGAATTTTCTATTTGTCAAGTATTTGGGAAGTGTTCAATTTCAATTTCAACGTCATTTACAATAATCGGATCAATATTTTTCCGAAAGTTTTATTTTTATAAAACCTGAAATTACAAAAATATTACCCCCTAACCATCATCTTCACGTCCTTCAAGCTCTGGCTGAAGCCATGGAACTCCGAATAGGTGAGTTGCACGTGAAAACAAGCAGGACCGTACCACCAAGGCGCCCCTGAAAAAAAAATCCTTAATTTCGAAGCTTTCCCACATATTCAGAAAGTACGATAAGTCTTGACACAGCCTCCATAAGCATCCTGTTTATCCAGAGTGCTAAACTTCCAGTTCAGATGAGTCAAAAAGGACTGTCCTCCATCCCCACTATAATCCTTGACGACTTTGATGGCATAACTCTCCTCCTCACCACCAATCTGGAATTCTTTGTAATGCGAGTACAGAATCTTCCCGTCCAAATTGGTAAACACTAACAACAACTCGTTGGTGTTGCCACCTACAATTTTCACTCTGACTCGTTCATCATCCATTTTTCAACTTTTCTATGAAATTTTTCCACATTTCGATTTTTTAATTATTCGAATTTTTGATATTTCGATTCTTTGATTTTTGCGTTTTTCGATTCTTCAATTATTCTTCATATTTTCAATTTCCCGATATTTCAGTTCCGAAATTTTTCAATATTTCGATTTTTCAATTTTTGGATTTTTTGACTTTTCAATTTTTCGATTTCTCGTTTTTTTACTTCTTCGTTTTTTAATTAGAGATTTTTCAATTTTTAAATCTTGTTTCAATTTTCCAATTTCTTCTATTTTCCGATTTTTCAAATTTTCGTTATACAAAATTTTGGATTTTCAGTTTCTCAGTTTTTCAATTTTAATTTTTCGATATTTTCATTTTTCAGTTTCTTGACGACTCGGTTTTTCGATTGTTAAAATTTTTCGACTGTTCGATTTTTAGAATTTTGATTTTTCAAGTTTCGATTTCTGAATTTTTCGAATTTTCAGATTTTTAATTTTTTGAGTTCCATGTTTCAATTTTACGATTTCTCGATTTCTCAATTTTCTAATTGCTCAATTTTTCGATGTTCCAGTTTTGAGATTTTTCTATTTTTCGATTCATCAGTTTTTGTTCAATCTGTCAATTTCGGATAAGTCAATTTTGTGAATTTTGCATATTTCGATTCTTCAATTTTTCTATTTCTCGACTTTTAATTTTTTTTTTTCCATTTTTCAATTATTCGATTTTTGATGTTTCGATTTTTGATGTTTCAATTCCTGGAATTTTGAATCTTTCGATTTTTCAATTATTCTTCAATTTTTCAATTTCTTGATACTGCAGTTCCGGAATGTTTCAATATTTCGATTTTTCAATTTTTCGATTTTTTGATTTTTCGATTTCTCAATTTTTTATTTTTTCGTTTTTAAATTAGAGATTTTTCAATTTTTAAATCTTGTTGTTTTGATTCCTCGATTCTTCAATTTCTCGATTTCTCGATTTTAAATTTTTTTAATTTTTTGATTTTTCAATTATTCGATTTTTTGATATTTTGATTCCTGGAATCTTGAATTTTTCGATTCATCAATAATTCTTCTATTTTGCAGTTATTCGATTTTTTGATGTTTTAATTCCTGGAACTTTGAACCTTTCGATTTTTCAATTATTCTTCAATTTTTCGATTTTTCGACTTTTCGATTTCCCAATTTTTCGATTTTTCAGATTTTTGATTTTTATCTTTTTAAAATTTTCAATTTTTCTACTTCGGTTTTTCAATTTTTCGCTTACTCAGTTTTTCGATTCCAGTTTTGGGATTTTACCATTTTTCGATTTATAAATTTTTCTTCGATTTTTCAGTTTTTCAATATTTCGATTTTCGAATTTTCTTTTTCTCAATTTCTTATATTTTGTATTTCTCAACTCTTAAATTTTTTTGATTCTTTCATTTTTGTTAATTTTTTAATTTGTTTATATTTCAATTTGGAATTGTTCCATATTTCGATTCTTCAATTATTCGATTTTTTGATGTTTCGATTTCTCGATTCTTCAATTTCCCTTCAATTGCTCAATTTTTCGATATTTCAATTTCGGAATTTTGCAATATTTCTATTCTCAGTTTATATTCAGTTTCTTGGTTTTTCGATCGATTTTTACAATTTTTCAACTTTTCGTTCTTTGGAATTCTTGATTTTTCAAGCTTCGATTTCTGAATTTTTCGAATTCTCAGATTTTTAGTTTTTTGACTTTCATGTTTCAATTTTACGATTTCTCGATTTCTTAATTTTCCGATTGCTCAATTTTTCGATGTTCCAGTTTTGAGATTTTTCAATTTTTTGATTCATCAATTTTTTTTCAATTTTTTAATTTCCGACAGGTCAATTTTTTTAATTTTACGTATTTCGATCTTCAATTTTTCGATTTCTCGATTTTCAAATTTTATATTTCTTCGATTTTTCAATTATTTGGTTTTTTAATGTTTCGATTCCTGAAATTTTGAATTTTTCGATTCTTCAATTATTCTTCAATTTTTCAATTTCTTGATGAGTTCCGGAATTTTTCAATATTTCGATTCTTCAATTTTTCGGTTTTTGGCTTTTAGATTTCTCCATTTTTTAAATTTTCGTTTCTTAAATTATAAATTTTTCAACATTTTATGAATTTTTAAAATTTTAGAATTTTCAGCTTCTCATCTTTTAGATTTCTCAAACTTTTGATGCTTCAATTTCTCAATACTTCAGTTTTTGAATTTTTCATTGTTTCGTTTTTCGATTCTTCAATTTTTCTAGTTCTCGTCTTTTAATTTGTTCAATTTTTCAATTTTTTAATTTTCGATTTTTTGATGTTTTGATTCCTGGAATTTTGAATTTTTCGATTCTTCAATAATTCTTCAATTTTTCAATTAAGTATTCGATATTTTGATGTCTTAATTCATGGAATTTTGAATTTTTCCATTTTTCATTTATTCTTCCTTTTTCCAATTCCTTGATACTGGAGTTCCGGCTTTTTTTCATTTCTCAATTTTTAATTTTTTAATTTTTCTTTTGATGTTTCGATTCCTGGAATTTTGGATTTTTCAATTCTTCAACTATTATTTTTCAATTTTTTAATTTCTTGTTACTTCAGTTCCGGAATTTTTCAATATTTCGATTCTTCCATTTTCCCATTCATCAATTTTTCTTCAATTACCTATTTCTGGATTTTTATTTTTTTTAATTTTTCGATTTTTCAATTATTCGGTTTTTTGATGTTTTGATTTCTGGAATTTTGAATTTTTCGATTCTTCAATTATTCTTATATTTGGATTTTTCAATTTTTCGATTTCTAGATTTTTTACTTCTTCGTTTTTTAAATTAGAGATTTTCAAATTTTTAAATCTTGTTTTGAATTTTCAATTTTCCAATTTTTCCATTTTACGATTCTTCAAATTATCGTTTTACAAAATTTTGGATTTTCAGTTTCTCAGTTTTTCAATTTTAATTTTTCGATATTTTCAGCGTTTTTAATATTTCAAATTTTTCAATTTCTTGACAACTCGGTTTTTCGATTTTTAAAATTTTCAACTTTCCGATTTTTAGATTTCTTGATTTTTCATGTTTTCGATTTTTGAATTTGTTAACACTTCAATTTCTGGAGTTTTTCAATTTCTGAATTTCTCAATTTTTCGATATTTTTAGTTTCGTTTTGTCGATTTTTTTAATTTTTCAATTTTTCAATTTTCAGTTTTGGCCTATTTGGATTTCTAAATTTATCGATTTTTTGAGTTTTCGATTTGTAACAATTTTTAATTTTTTCGCGGCTTCGGTTTTTCAATTTTTCGATTATTTAAATTTGGGATTTTCTGTTTCTCGGTTTGTAGGTTTTTTGACTTTTCAGTTTTTAAAAGTTTGATTTTTTCCAAATTTTTAATATTTAATTCAGTTTTTTGAGTTTTCAATTTTTCGATTTTAAAAATTTTTTGACTTTCCATTTTTAGAATTTTCTATTTGTCAAGTATTTGGGAAGTGTTCAATTTCAATTTCAACGCCATTTACAATAATCGGATCAATATTTCTGCGAAAGTTTTATTTTTATAAAACCTGAAATTACAAAAATATTACCCCCTAACCATCATCTTCACGTCCTTCAAACTCTGACTGAAGCCATGGAACTCCGAATAGGTGAGTTGCACGTGAAAACAAGCAGGACCGTACCACCAAGGCGCCCCTGAAAAAAAACCTTAATTTCGAAGCTTTCCCACATATTCAGAATGTACGATAAGTCTTGACACAGCCTCCATAAGCATCCTGTTTATCCAAAGTGCTAAATTTCCAGTTCAAATGAGTCAAAAAGGACTGTCCTCCATCTCCACTATAATCCTTGACGACTTTGATGGCATAACTCTCCTCCTCACCACCAATCTGGAATTCTTTGTAATGCGAATACAAAATCTTCCCTTCCAAATTGGTAAAAACAAACAACAACTCGTTGCTTTTGCCCCCTAGAACTTCCACTCTGACTCGTTCATCACCCACCAACAACCCAAAATTACCTGTCAACTCGTACAGATGCTCCAAACCCAACCAAAACTCTTCGTCTAGATGACCAAACCCGTTTTTGTAGTCCGTCCAGTTCAAATAAAAATCCTGAGAACCGTTAAACCGTCTCAGGACGTAAGTCCACCCACCACCTTTGGTTTCCATGTCGCACACAACCTCAAAAGGTTTAGACGCACCAGTGGGTTTAATGGTATAAACCCCACTGGTGGCATTACCTCCCCTTAAAACCTCGCCACAATTCTTGACAACCTCTCCAACTTTCGTGGTTTCATTTTTTTCCAAATCGTCAACCACCTTGGTGACCTCGTCCAACTTCTCGTTAGTAAAATCCAGCTTTTTTTTAAGCTTGAAGATGTGTTTTTTTGCAGAGTTTAATTGTGAAGACACGTCGGTGATGACGTCTCGTTTGACTTTTTCCAACTCTGTTGTAGAAAATTTAGCTTTGACAACCTTCTTCAGCAAATGTTCTTTGATTTCTTCTAGCTTGGTTTCAATTTGTGTGGAGATATTCTCGCACGATTTGTGGAGTTTCAGTTTGTCTTTAACCACTTCTTCGATTTTCGATATATCGCTCGTTGGAGCTGTCGTGTCATCTTGGTCTACTTTCGCCCCGTGAACCTCCAACATTTTTTCTAAGGCTCTCTGCACCTGTGACAGTTTTAGTTCGAATTTGTTCAGTCGATGTTCCGCTTCGGAGAAGGATCTGGGGAGTTCGAACTGGTCGTCGAAGAAGATTTGGTCGTCGTGGAGGTTCGAAGACAAGGGAGTTTCCGTGGATGACATAACTACAAACTAGACAGGAGTAAAGGGGGCTTTAGACTCGTGCGTAATTGTTAACTTACCTGTCGGTCGTCATTTTGCTGTGAATTTACAAGTGTTGACACTAAAGCAATTGTCACTAAGTATATCCTTAAGTCCATGATGTGAAAGCGACTATTTTTGTGGCAGCGTTCTTTTAATGGTCGAGTTTAGCGTAAACGAAAAAATGATAACAGAAGTCACGGTTCACGTCCGAAAAGTGATAAGATTGGTTGATCAGAAATAATTAATTTTAACAGAGTTGTCATTTTTACATGATTGTTGTCAAATTTTATAAATTAATGTACTCCTCAATTTGTGCTTTATGAATTTTCGATTTCTTATTGTTTTTATTTTTCAAATTTTGAATTTTGGTGTGAGTTTTGGGGTTTTTCAATTTTTCATATCATCAGTTTGTGCCATTGTTTAATTTTTCGTTATTTCAGTTTTGGAATTTTTTCCATTTCTCGGTTTTTCAATATTTCGATTTCTCGTCTCGGCAATTTTTGGATTTTTTGATGTTTTTTCCTTTCGATTTCTCGTTTTTCAATTTTTGTTCAATTTCTCAATTTTTCAATAATTCAGTTTCGAATTTTTTCATATTTCGATTCTTTATTTTCTTAGTTTAAAAAACTTCAGCTGTGTTCAATTTTTTCAATTTTTGACATTTTTTTTTTGATTTCTCGATTTATCAATTTTTCGATTTTTCAGTTTTTTGATTTTTCGATTTTTCAATTTTTCGCCTACTCAGTTTTTCGGTTCCAGTTTTGCGTTTTTTCTAATTTTCCGTTTCATCACGTTTTCAACCATTTTTTAAATTTCGGTTATTTCAATTTTGGAATTTTTTCCATTTCTCGATTCTTCAATATTTTGATTTCTCGACTTTTCGATTTTTGGATTTTTTGATGTTCCATTCCTCGGTTTTTCAATTTTTGTTCGATTTTTTCAATTTTTCGATAGTTCAGTTTCGAATTTTTTCATATTTCGATTCTTAATTTTTTTGTCAATTATACGATTTTTTGATGTGTTAATTCCCCGATTTTTCAATTTTTAGATTCTTCAATTTTGTTCAATTTCTCAATTTTTGGATATTTCAGTTTCGGAATTTTTCAATATTTCGATTTTTAATTTTTTGATTTTTTGATTTTTCGACTTTTACTTATCGATCTTTATTTCATAGGTATGTCAGTTTTTCAATTATTTTTTTTTTTTATTTCTGAATTTTTCAGTTCTTCGATATTTCTATTTTTCGAATTTTTAAATTTTAAGTTTTTCAGTTTTTGATTTGGGATTTGGATTTTAATTTTTTTTAAATTTTCAATTTTTCGATATTTCAGATTTTTGTTTCTATTTTAAATTTTCGATTTTCCTATTTCTGAATTTATCGATTAATCAGTTTTTTGATCTTTCAAGTTTTCGATTTCTCAACTTCTGGATTTCTCAGATTTTTCAGGTTTTTGATTTTTCGGTTTTTTTTATTTTCGATTTTTCAATTTTTCTATCTCAACAGTTCTTCCTCGATTTTGTTAATTTTTCGATATTTCAGTTTTCCATTTTTCGAATTATTGATGTTTCCATTCTTCGATTTTTCAAATTTTTTGATTCGTCAATTTATCAATTCAGTTAATGGATATTTTAATTTTTCAATTTTTGGAATTTTTAAATTTTAGTTTTTTCAATTTTTTGAGGTTGGCATTTCTCGATATTTCGATTTTTCAAGTCCTCGATTTTAGATTGTTCGATTTTTAAATTTTTAGATTTTTCAACTTTTTGATTTTTCAATTTGTTCGATATTTCAATTTCGGAATTTTTCAATATTTCTATTCTTCAATTTTTCGATGTTTTGAATTTCAATTTTCCGATTTTAAATCTGTATAAATTTTCAATGTTTCGATTTTTCAGATTTTCAATTCTAGAATTTTGAAATTTATCATTTTTTGACGTATTTAAATTTTCGATTTTACGATTTTTAAATTAATACATTTTTCAATTTTTTTGTTTTTCGACTTTTCAATTTCTTGACTTCTTGATTTCCCACTTTTTGATTTTTCGCTTTTTAAAATTTTCAATTTTTCTACTTCGGTGAAGCCAGAAAAATGCTGCTCTCCTTTTTTTTCGAATTTTTTCAAAATGGTCAGAATCGACCGTGTTGGGTATCATCGGACGCGGAATTTCCTCACGATTACGATTCCGTGCATGTTTTTGATGTACCTCTTCAAATAAGCGAGAAAAATGCTGCCCCCTCTTTTTTTTTCGAATTTTTTCAAAATGGTCCGAATGGACCGTGTTGGGTATCATCGGACGCGGAATTTCCTCAGGATTACGATTCCGTGCATAGTTTTGATGCATCTTTTCAAATAAGCGAGAAAAATGCTGCCCCCCCTTTTTTTTCGAATTTTTTCAAAATGGTCCGAATGGACCGTGTTGGGTATCATCGAAAGCGGAATTTTCTCAGGATTACGATTCCGTGCATGTTTTTGATGTACCTCTTCAAATAATTTCAAAATGGTCCGAATCGACGGTGTGGAGAATCATCGGATTTTTCAATTTTTGACTTTCAACGTTTTAATTTTAGGTTTTTTCGTTTTCTCAATTGCTCGATTTACCGACTTCTCCACTTTTCGATTTTTCGATTTTCGCGGTCTTTCGACTTTTCGGCATTATCAATTCTTCGATTTCCCAGTTTATCGTCGTTTAATTTGTATAATTTTTCAATTTCTCCCATTTTCAGTTTTCCAATCTTTTGTCGTTTCAATTTTCGATTTTTTATACTTCACATTTTTCGATTTGACGATGTTTTAATTCGGTTTCTTGACAATTCGGTTCCTCGATTTTTAATAATTTTCGAATTCCCTTTTTTACATTTCTCGATTGTCCAAGTTTTCGAGTGGAGGAGATGAATAAATAAAATGGGGTATATAATGCATATATAATATAGCAAAAACATAAATTTAACATTTAAGACATAATTATGCCCTGACCATCATTTTAACATCCTTCAAACTGTACCTGAAGCCGTGGAATTCCGAGTAATGTATCCCCTCTGCGTACGACTCGGTTTTCCCCTTGAGGTACTTTCCGGTTAGTTTAACGTGAAAACATCCAGGTCCGTACCACCACGGTCCGTCTACAAAAAAACCTCGATTAAACCGTCTCAAAATTGTTAAAACTTACGATAAGTTTTGACGCAGCTCCCAAAAGCGTCCTGTTTATCCCCAGTGCTAAATTTCCACTTCAAATGACTCATAAACGACTGTCCTCCATCCCCGCTATAGCCTCGAATGACGTCAATTGCGTAGCGCTCCTTTTCGTTTCCAATACGGAATTCCTTGAAATACGATGTCACGGTTTTTCCCTCCCAGTCAGTAAGTACAAACAACAGTTCGTTGATAGTGTCACCTACAATTTAATACCTGGTACATAATTTTTTTTTTCAACGAACGAAAACCACACCTGTCAGTTCGTACAGATGTTCCAAACCCAACCAGAACTCTCCTTCTAGATCCCCAAAACCATTTTTATATTCCTCCCAGTTCTGGAAAAAGTTTTGGGAGCCATTAAACCGTCTCATGAAGTAGGTCCAACCACCACCTTTCGTGTCCATGTCGCACAGTACTTTGAAAGGTTCAGCAGCTTTGGGTGGTTTTATGGTATAAACTCCGGTGTCCTTATTACCTCTCTCTAAAATTTCCTTACAGTTTTTCGCAACCTGGTTCTTATTGTTGTTCGCCGGCAAAACTATGACCTGTTCCGTCTTCTGCTTTGCAAGACTTTTTTCAAACTTCTCCATTCCTTTTGAGATATTTTCCAACTGGTTGTTCGTGGAAGTCAATTTCGTTTCAAACGCGTCGACTTTCTTAATTATGTCTTGTTTTGCCTCGTTCAAGCTCGTCGCAGCAAGATTTGCTTGTTCTTCGTGCTTTTTATCGATTTGGTTTATCAAATCGTCTTTGAGTTGGTCCAACTTGTCGTCGATTTGTGCGCACGGTTTGTACAGTTTTAATTTCTCTTCGATGATTCTTTCGATTTTTGAAAAATCGGTTGGTTCGGAGGTCAGGTTTTCGTCTATTTTGACATTATGGAGCTTCAAAACCTTCTCTAGGTATCTTTGGATTTGGGTCATTTTTAACTCGAATCTTTCTAGACGGTGTTTCGTTTCGGTGAGGGATTTTCTAATTTCGAACTGGTCTTCGAATATAATTTCGTCATTTTGGAGGTACGGAGGAAACGGAGGTTTGCTGGTTGAGACGACTGAAAACTAGACGAAAGAGATTTTTGAATGATTGATGTTGGGTTTGCTTACCGTCAAGTCGTCACTTCGTACTGAATTTATACAAAGTGTTGATGAAATGATGATCATGCAGAAATTTACTTTGGAATTCATAGTGGCGACACTTATGCATAATGAGGTTGTTTTTAAATGCGTGCGTTTTATGCAAACTGTTTTTGAACGATAAGAGAAGTCATAGTTCGTTTCGACAGTGCGATAAACTTGGTCGGGAAAAAAAATTATTATTATACATATATTTGATAGTAATTGCTATTTTGTCAATAATTGTTGTAAGAATATACAAATTCATTTCTTCACTGGTAGTACGGTGGAACTGTAACGCCCTCTGGGTCTAACCATCATCCCGACCTTCTTCAAACTGTAAGCACTACCTCTAAAACCGTCCCAGTACACAATCTGCCACCTATCCGCTTCCGTTACATTTCCTCTCAAGTACCTAGCTGTTGGGTTACACATGGTACACGAATTGTACCACCAACTTCCCTCTAAAACACACCAATCAAACCAGAACCATTTTCCCACACCCATACGAACTCTCTTGGGCTGCACAATTATTCCCCGGCCGCAAATCTTGATCCCTATCCAGAGTGGTGAATTTCATCCCAGCTTGGTACCGCAACGAATCCCCAGCGTTGCCACTATAAGAACCCAGGACCTTCATTGGATAGCCTTCGTCTTCACTACCAATCGCGAAGGCGTTGTACGCAGCATGGACCTTTCCTCCCTCAAAATCCTCCAGTTCTACCAGCAACTCGTTGGCCTCAAAACCTACCCAAACAAATTAATCACACTAGAATGTAAATCGTTTACCTGTCAACTGATGCAAAGCCTCCAAACCTAGCCAAAACTCCCCCGACAAACTCCCAAAACCATTTTTGTAGTCAGTCCAGTTTAAGTAAAAGTTCTGGGAACCGTCAAACCTGCTCAAAAAATAGGCCCATCCACCCCCGCTGGTGTCCATGTCGCACAAGACCATGAACGATTCCGAGGAGTATTTAGGTTGGATTAGGTACATTCCAGAGACTTTGTTGCCGCTGTCTTTGATGTCTTTGCAGCTGGTTGGGAGAGATTTCGTCTGGGTGGGAGTTTTCGCATTGGCTAATTTTTCCAGCAAGGTTTGAATCGAATTCAGGTGCAAATTTGCTGAGTCGAGGGTGGTTTGTAGTTGGGTGTTTTGACGTTCGAGTGCTTGCAGCCGCTGGGTGTTTTCTCTGAAGGTTTGTGTGTTTTCGATTTTTGTCTCTATTTTGGCGAGGAAGTCGGAAAGGGTGAGAACTTCAGGTTTCGTTGTGGAAACAGCAACAAACTAAAATATTTGCTTGGGTTTTATTTAAAAAAATGGGGTCAGCACTTACTTTGTTGATGGATACAGACTGTGATGCTTTTGCTACGAAAATTTGCAACAACAGTGTTAAAATTATTTTTAAATTTTTGGCCATTTTAACCTTGTAGTGCAGCGAGTTGTTGGTGTTTGTTGCTTAAATTTATAAATGGTGCGAAGTGTAGAGGTTATCGAAGGCAAAGTCCTGGTTTGCTTATCTGTCTTAATTCTTTTTTTGTGGTTAAATGAAGTAAAAGATCATCAAAACTGACCTGTTTTATTGATTTTTCTTATAATTTTAGATGTTGTTTTATTGGTTTGTGGCGACACAATAATACGTAGTAGTAAGATAAGAAAGATAAGCTCCTCTGTAGCCTAGTGGTGAGGGCAACCGTCCGGCAAGCGGTAAACGTGCGGTTCGATTCCCACTCTACAGGTTGTTACAAATAAATAATGACAATTTACTGAAAACTGGTCATCAAAAATCGGTTAGCAAATTGGGGTAAAACCATAACAGAATCCAGCTTGCAAAGTTAGAGTAAATAATAAGGATTTCACAGGAGCCATAATTCTAGGTCCACAATTCTCTTCATTTGCTTGAGACTGTACGTATTTGGACAAAACAGAGGTCCCAATGTATACCTCGATTAGTGTAAGGTGTAAGGGAAGTAAAGAAATTTCTGATAACTCATTTTATGATTTGATTATGATTTTTCTTCTTAATGTACGTACTTTTCAGGATAAAAGACTGCAAACATGTTTAAGATGGTAAATTTTATTTCCCACACTTCTCTACAAATTTACCAATTTAAACAAGTTTTTACTTTCTTGTCGTGAATAGAAAACTACGCACATGAAAGAAAAACAAAATTAAAATATAAACCCCGCCCACCCGCCCTCGCCTCAATTGTTATGAATTTTCTTATTCGTCGTTAGCCGAAGGGCGGAGCTTAATTTAGGTTTCTTTTTTCACTTAAAACTTCTCTTTGAACAACACGCTTACTCAAAAACGTGTTTCAAATGGTAAGTTGTCGTCGAAAAATAAGGATTTTGCAATTAAGCTCCGCCTCCTTGCTGACAACGAATCAAGAAAAATCGTCACAACTGAGACAGGGTGGGTGGGCGGGGCTTATGCTTTGACTTTTTTCTTCTTCTTAATATATACACTCTTTCACAACAAAAGAGTGAAAACATGTTTGAAATGGTAAATTTTATCTACCACACTCCTCTAAAAATGTACCATTCTAAACAAGCTTTCAGTTTCTTGTCGTCAATAGAAAACTACGCACATATAAGAAAAACAAAATTAAAATACAAACCCCGCCCACCCACCCTCATCCTAATTGTGATACATTTTTCTTATTCGTCGTGAGCCGAAGGGCGGAGCTTAATTTAGGTTTTCGTCTTTTACTTAAAACTTTCCTTTGAACAACATGCTTACTCAAGAACGTGTTTCAGATGGTAAGTTTTCGTAGAAAAAAATAAGGATTTTGCAGTTAAGCTCCGCCTCCTTGCTGACAACGAATAAAGAAAAATCGTCAGTACTGAGAGAGGGCGGGTGGGCGGGGCTTATGTTTTTACTTTTTTTTTCTTCTTAATATACACAACCTTTACCGACAAAACATGTTTGAAATGATAAATTTTATCTCCCACACTTCTCTACAAATTTACCATTTTACACAAGTTTTCAGTTTCTTGTCGTGAATAGAAAATTACACACATATAAGAAAACAAAATTAAAATACAAACCCCGCCCACCCGCCCTCACCTCAATTGTGATGAATTTTCTTATTCGTCGTTAGCCGGAGGGCGGAGCTTAATTTAGGTTTACATTTTTACTTAGAATTTTTCTTTAAAGAGCACGCTTACTTAAGAACGTGTTTCAAATAATAAGTTCTCGTAGAAAAATAAGGATTTTGCAATTAAGCTCCGCCTCCTTGCTGACAACGAACATTGAAAAATCGTCACAATTGAGACAGGGTGGGTGGGCGGGGCTTATGATTTTACTTTTTTTTTCTTCTTAATGTACACACCCTTCACCGACAAAAACTGAAAACATGTTTGAAATGGTAAATGTTATCTCCCACATTTCTCTACAAATTTACCAATTTAACCAAGCTTTCAGTTTCTTGTCGTCAGTAGAAAACTACGCACATATAAGAAAAACAAAATTAAAATACAAACCCCGCCCACCCGCCCTCATCCCAATTGTGATGAATTTTCTTATTCGTCGTTAGCCGAGGGGCGGAGCTTAATTTAGGTTTTCGTTTTTTAATTAAAACTTTTCTTTGAACAAAACGCATAGTTAAGAACATGTTTGATATGGAAGTTCTCGTAGAAAAATAAGGTTTCAGGAATTAAGCTCCGCCTCCTTGCTGACAAAGAATTTAAAAAATTGTCACTACTGAGACAGGGTGGGTGGGCGGGGCTAATTTTTTTTCTTTTTTTTTTCTTAATGTACACACCCTTCACCGACAAAGACTGAAAACATATTTGAAATGGTAAATGTTATCTCCCACACTCCTCTAAAAATTTACCATTCTAAACAAGCTTTCAGTTTCTTGTCGTCAATAGAAAACTACGCACACATAAGAAAACAAAACTAAAATACAAACCCCGCCCACCCGCCCTCAACTCAATTGTGATGAATTTTCTTATTCGTCGTGAGCCGAAGGGCGGAGCTTAATTTAGGTTTGCATTTTTTACTTAGAACTTTTCCTTAACAACACGCTTACTAAGAACGTGTTTCAAATGGTAAGTTGACGTCGCAAAATAAGAATTTTGCAATTAAGCTCCGCCTCCTTGCTGACAACGAATAAAGAAAAATTGTCACTACTGAGACAGGGTGGGTGGGCGGGGCTTATGATTTTACTTTTTTTTCTTCTTCTTAATATACATTCTCTTCACAACAAACGAGTGAAAACATGTTTGAAATAGTAAATTTTATCTCCCACACTTCTCTACAAATTTACCAATTTAAACAAGTTTTCAGTTATTTGTCGTCAATAGAAAACTGCACACATCCAAGAAAAAAAATTAAAATATAAACCCCGCCCACCCAGCCTCATCCTAATTGTGATAAATTTTTCTTATTCGTCGTGAGCCGAAGGGCGGAGCTTAATTTGGGTTTTCGTTTTTTACTTAAAACTTTTCTTTAAACAACACGCTTACATAAGAACGTGTTTCAAATGGTAAGTTCTCGTAGAAAAATAAGGATTTTGCAATTAAGCTCCGCCTCCTTGCTGACAAAGAATTAAAAAAATTGTCACTACTGTGACAGGGCGGGTGGGCGGGGCTTATGATTAGACTTTTTTCTTCTTCTTAATATACATACTCTTCACAACAAACTAGTGAAAACATGTTTGAAATGGTAAATGTTATCTCCCACACTTCTCTCCAAATTTACCAATTTAAATAAGCTTTCAGTTTCTTGTCGTCAATGGAAGACTACGCACATATAAGAAAACAAAATAAAATACAAACCCCGCCCACCCACCCTCATCGCAATTGTGATGAATTTTCTCATTCGTCGTTAGCTGGAGGGCGGAGCGTAATTTAGGTTTACGTTTTTACTTAGACTTTTCTTTAAACAACACGCTTACTTAAGAACGTGTTAAATAAGGTAAGTTCTCGTAGAAAAATAAAGATTTTGCAATTAAGCTCCGCCTTCTTGCTGACAACGAATAAAATAAAATGGTCGCTATTGAGACAGGGTGGGTGGGCGGGGTTTATAATTTGACTTTTTTTTCTTCTTAATGTACACACCCTTCATCGACAAAAACTGAAACTCTAGCTCTAGAACTCAAATCCGGCTTCGGTTTTTTGATACCTGCAACCGTTTTTCCAGAATCGACCGCTGAATTATCGAAATTATTGAAATTTTCAAAAATTTGCATTTCGCAGCGATTTTTTCGAAAATGTTGCTTCGTGACCATCAACATGCTATATTTTTGGCATCAGCATGTCGAGATCTACGTCCCCGAATTTTTTAATAATTTTCAGACAACTTTTTCAAAATTGAAATTTTTTAATTCTTCCAATTTCGCAAAAATTTTGACATTTTCGAAACTCAACTAAATACATTTTCTTGTAGATTTCTAGCTCTACAACTCAAATCCGGCTTCGATGTTTCGATACCTGCAACCGTTTTTCCAGAATCGACCGCTGAAATATCGAAATTTTTGAAATTTTCAAAAATTCGCGTTTCGCAGCGATTTTTTCGAAAATGTTGCTTCGTGACCATTAACATGCTATATTTTTGGATCAGCGTGTCGAGATTTACATCCCTGAATTTTTTCATAATTTTTAGACAACTTTTTCAAATTGAAATTTTTTAATGGTTTTAATGGTGAGTGGAGGAGATGAATAAATAAAATGGAGTCAGTGGAACACACAAAAAAGAAGAATTGATTGCTGAAATTAACTGATTATTGGGCGGATATACAATTTAGCAAAAACATAAATTTGACATTTAAAACATATTTATGCTCTAACCATCATTTTAACTTTCTTCAAACTGTACCTGAAGCCGTGGAATTCCGAGTAATGTATTCCCTCTGCGTACGACTCCGTTTTACCCCTGAGGTACTTCCCGGTGAGTTTAACGTGAAAACACCCAGGGCCGTACCACCACGGTCCATCTACAAAAAAACCTCGATTAAACCGTCTCAAAATTGTTAAAACTTACGATAAGTATTGACGCAGCTCCCAAAAGCGTCCTGTTTATCCCCAGTGCTAAATTTCCACTTCAATTGACTCATAAACGACTGTCCACCATCCCCACTGTAGCCCCGAATGACGTCTAGTGCGTAGCGCTCCTTTTCGTTCCCAATACGGAATTCCTTGAAATGCGATTTCACGGTTTTTCCCTCCCAGTCAGTAAGTACAAACAACAGTTCGTTGATAGTGTCACCTACAATTTAATAGCTAGTATATAATTATATATATTTTTTTTAACGAACGAAAACCACACCTGTTAGTTCGTACAGATGTTCCAAACCCAACCAGAACTCTCCTTCTAGATCCCCAAAACCATTTTTATAATCCTCCCAGTTCTGGAAAAAGTTTTGAGAGCCATTAAACCGTCGCATGAAGTAGGTCCAACCACCACCTTTCGTGTCCATGTCGCACAATACTTTGAAAGGTTTAGCAGCTTTGGGTGGTTTTATGGTATAAACCCCAGTCTCCTTGTTACCTCTCTCTAAAATTTCTTTACAGTTCTTCGGAACCTGGTTATTATTGTTGTCCACCGGCAAAACTATGACCTGTTCCGTCGTCTGCGGTCCAAGACTTTTTTCAAACATCTCCATTAAATCCAGCTGCTTGTTCGTGGAAGTCCATTTCATTTCAAACGCGTCGACTTTCTTAATTATGTCTTGTTTTGCCTCGTTCAAGCTCGTCGCAGCAAGATTAGCTTGCTCTTCGTGCTTTTTATCGATTTGGTTTATCAAATCGTCTTTGAGTTGGTCCAACTTGTCGTCGATTTGTGCGCACGGTTTGTACGATTTTAATTTCTCTTCGACGATTCTTTCGATTTTTGAAAAATCGGTTGGGTCGGAGGTCAGGTTTTCGTCTATTTTGACATTATGGAGCTTCAAAACCGTCTCTAGGTATCTTTGGATTTGGGTCATTTTCAACTCGAATCTTTCTAGACGGTGTTTCGTTTCGGTGAGGGATTTTCGAATTTCGAACTGGTCTTCGAATATAATTTCGTCATTTTGGAGGTATGGAGGAAACGGAGGTTTGCTGGTTGAGACGACTGAAAACTAGACGAAAGAGATTTTTGAATGATTAATGTTGGGTTTGCTTACCGTCAAGTCGTCGCTTCGTACTGAATTTATACAAAGTGTTGATGAAATGATGATCATGCAGAAATTTACTTTGGAATTCATAGTGGCGACACTTATGCATAATGAGGTTGTTTTTAAATGCGTGCGTTTTATGCAAACTGTTTTTGAACGATAAGAGAAGTCATAGTTCGTTTCGACAGTGTGATAAACTTGGTCGGAAAAAAAAATTATTATTATATATTTGATAGTAATTGCTATTTTGTCAATAATTGTTGTAAGAATAAACAAATTCATTTCTTCACTGGTAGTACGGTGGAACTGTAACGCCCTCTGGGTCTAACCATCATCCCGACCTTCTTCAAACTGTAAGCACTACCTCTAAAACCGTCCCAGTACACAATCTGCCACCTATCCGCTTCCGTCACATTTCCTCTCAAGTACCTAGCAGTTGGGTTACACATGGTACACGTATTGTACCACCAACTTCCCTCTAAAACACACCAATCAAACCAGAACCATTTTCCCACACCCATACGAACTCTCTTGGGCTGCACAATTATTCCCCGGCCGCAAATCTTGATCCCTATCCAGAGTGGTGAATTTCATCCCAGCTTGGTACCGCAACGAATCCCCAGCGTTGCCACTATAAGAACCCAGGACCTTCATTGGATAGCCTTCGTCTTCACTACCAACCGCGAAGGCGTTGTACGCAGCATGGACCTTTCCTCCCTCAAAATCCTCCAGTTCTACCAGCAACTCGTTGGCCTCAAAACCTACCCAAACAGATTATTAATCACACTAGAGTGTAGACCTTTTACCTGTCAACTGATGCAAAGCCTCCAAACCTAGCCAAAACTCCCCCGACAAACTCCCAAAACCATTTTTGTAGTCAGTCCAGTTTAAGTAAAAGTTCTGGGAACCGTCAAACCTGCTCAAAAAATAGGCCCATCCACCCCCGCTGGTGTCCATGTCGCACAAGACCATGAACGATTCCGAGGAGTATTTAGGTTGGATTAGGTACATTCCAGAGACTTTGTTGCCGCTGTCTTTTATGTCTTTGCAACTAGTTGGGAGAGATTTCGTCTGGGTGGGAGTTTTCGCATTGGCTAATTTTTCCAGCAAGGTTTGAATCGAATTCAGTTGCAAATTTGCTGAGTCGAGGGTGGTTTGTAGTTGGGTGTTTTGATGTTCGAGTGCTTGCAGCCGCTGGGTGTTTTCTTTGAGGGTTTGTGTGTATTCGATTCTTGTCTCTATTTTGGCGAGGAAGTCGGAAAGGGTGAGAACCTCAGGTTTCGTTGTGGAAACAGCAACAAACTAAAATATTTTCTTGGGTTTTATTGTTAAGAATGGGGTCAGTACTTACTTCGCTAGTGGATGCACTGAAAGTTTTTCCTACGAAAATTTGCAAGAAAAGTGTTAAAACTATTTTTAAATTTTTGTCCATTTTAACCTTGTAGTGCAGCGAGTTGTTGGTGTTTGTTGCTTAAATTTATAAATGGTGCGAAGTGTAGAGGTTATCGACGGGAAAGTCCTGGTTTGCTTATCTGTCTTCATTTTGTTTTTTTTAATGATGCGCTATTGGTGGTTAAATGAACTAAAAGATCATCAAAACTGACCTGTTTTATTGATTTTTCTTATAATTTTAGATGTTGTTTTATTGGTATGTGGCGACACAATAATACGTAGTAGCAATCTTCGTAGTCTAGTGGTGAGGACATTTTTCTTCGCTTAATCTACAGGTTGTACAAATAAATAATGACAATTTATTTAAAACTGGTGATCAAAAATCGGTTAGCAAATTGGGGTAAAAAGATAACAGAATCAACCTTGCAAACTTAGAGTAAATAATAAGGATTTCACAAGAGCCATAATTCTAGGTCCACAGTTCTCTTCATTTGCTTGAGACTGTACGTATTTGGAGGAAACAGAGGTTCCATTCAGTCCGAAGATGGCTCATTTGTGGTAGAAACCACTTCAAACTGAAAGAAATTATAATTTAACTTTTTTTTCTTCTTAATGTGCATACTTTTCAGGATAAAAGACTGAAAATATATTTAAGATGGCCAATTTTATCTCCCACACTTCTCTACAAATTTACTAATTTCAACAAGTTTTCATTTTTTTGTCGTGAATAGAAAACTGCGCACGTCCAAGAAAAACAAAATAAAAATATAAACCCCGCCCACCCGCCCTCGTCTCAATTGTGATGAATTTTTCTTATTCGTCGTTAGCCGGAGGGCGGAGCTTAATTTAGGTTTTCATTTTTTACTTAGAACTTTTCTTTAACAACACGCTTACTTAAGAACGTGTTTCAAATGGTAAGTTGTCATCGAAAAATACGGATTTTGCAACTAAGCTCCGCCTCCTTGCTGACAACGAATAAAGAAAAATAGTCACAATTGAGACAGGGTGGGTGGGCGGGGCTTATGTTTTTACTTTTTTCTTCTTCTTAATATATACACTCTTTCACAACAAAAGAGTGAAAACATGTTTGAAGTGGTAAATTTTATCTCCCACACTTCTCTACAAATTTACCATTTTAAACAAGCCTTCAGTTTCTTGTTGTCAATAGAAAACTACGCACACATAAAAAAAAAAATTAAAATACAAACCCCGCCCACCCACCCTCATCCTAATTGTGATACATTTTTCTTATTCGTCGTGAGCCGAAGGGCGGAGCTTAATTTAGGTTTTCGTCTTTTACTTAAAACTTTCCTTTGAACAACACGCTTACTCAAGAACGTGTTTCAAATGGTAAGTTTTCGTAGAAAAATAAGGATTTTGCAGTTAAGCTCCGCCTCCTTGCTGACAACGAATAAAGAAAAATCGTCAGTACTGAGAGAGGGCGGGTGGGCGGGGCTTATGTTTTTACTTTTTTTTCTTCTTAATGCAGACACCCTTCACCGACAAAAACTGAAAACATGTTTGAAATGGTAAAGTTTATCTCCCAGACTTCTCTACAAATTTACCATTTTAAACAAACTTTCAGTTTCTTCTCGTGAATAGAAAACTACGCACATATAAGAAAACAAAATTAAAATACAAACCCCGCCCACCCACCCTCGTCTCAATTGTGATGAATTTTCTTATTCGTCGTGAGCCGAAGGGCGAAGCTTAATTTAGGTTTTCGTCTTTTACATAAAACTTTTCTTTGAACAACACGCTTACTTAACAACGTGTTTCAAATGGTAACTTCTCGTAGAAAAATAAGGATTTTGCAATTAAGCTCCGCCTGTTTGCTCACAACGAATAAAGAAAAATCGTCACAATTGAGACAGGGTGGGTGGGCGGGTATTATGATTTTACTTTTTTCTTCTTCTTAATGCAGACACCCTTCACCGACAAAGACTGAAAACATGTTTGAAATGGTAAATTTTATCCCATACACTTCTCTACAAATTTACTAATTTAAAGAAGTTTTCAGTTTTTTGTCGTGAATAGAAAACTACGCACATATAATAAAACAACATTAAAATACAAGTCCCGCCCACCCACCCTCATTTCAATTGTGATGAATTTTCTTATTCGTCGTTAACCGAAGGGCGGAGCTTAATTTAGGTTTTCATTTTTTACTTAGAACTTTTCTTTAACAACACGCTTACTTAAGAACGTGTTTCAAATGGTAAGTTGTCGTCGAAAAATAAGAATTTTGCAATTAAGCTCCGCCTCCTTGCTGACAACGAATAAAGAAAAATCGTCAGTACGGAGACAGGGCGGGTGGGCGGGGGTTATTTTTTTACTTTTTTTTTCTTCTTAATGTACACATCCTTCACCGACAAAGACTGAAAACATATTTGAAATGGTAAATGTTATCTCCCACACTTCTCTAAAAATTTACCATTCTAAACAAGCTTTCAGTTTCTTGTTGTCAATGGAAAACTAGGCACATATAAAAAAAAAAAATTATAAACCCCGCCCACCCACCCTCGTCTCAATTGTGATGAATCTTCTTATTCGTCGTTAGCCGAAGGGCGGTGCTTAATTTAGGTTTTCGTCTTTTACTTAAAACTTTTCTTTGAAAAACACGCTTACTTAAGAACGTGTTTCAAATGGTAAGTTCTCGTAGAAAAATAAGAATTTTGCAATTAAGCTCCGCCTCCTTGCTGACAACGAATAAAGAAAAATTGTCACAACTGAGACCGGGTGGGTGGGCGGGGCTTATAATTGTACTTTTTTTTCTTCTTAATGCAGACACCCTTCACCGACAAAGACTGAAAACATGTTTGAAATGGTAAATTTTATCCCATACACTTCTCTACAAATTTACCAATTTAATCAATCTTTCAGTTTCTTGTCGTGAATAGAAAACTACGCACATATAAGAAATAAAAAATGAAAATACAAACCCCGCCCACCCACCCTTACCTCAATTGTGATAAATTTTCTTATTCGTCGTTAACCGAAGGGCGGAGCTTAATTTAGGTTTTCATTTTTTACTTAGAACTTTTCTTTAACAACACGCTTACTCAAGAACGTGTTTCATATGGTAAGTTTTCGTAGAAAAACAAGGATTTTGCAATTAAGCTCCGCCTGTTTGCTCACAACGAATAAAGAAAAATCGTCACAACTGAGACAGGGTGGGTGGGCGGGGCTTATAATTTGACTTTTTTTTTCTTCTTAATGCAGGCACCCTTCACCGACAAAGACTGAAAACATGTTTAAAATGGTAAATTTTATCCCATACACTTCTCTACAAATTTACCAATTTAAACAAGTTTTCAGTTTCTTGTCGTGAATAGAAAACTACGCACATATAATAAAACAAAATTAAAATACAAATCCCGGCCACCCACCCTCATCTCAATTGTGATGAATTTTCTTATTCGTCGTGAGCCGAGGGGCGGAGCTTAATTTAGGTTTTCGTTTTTTACTTAAAACTTTTCTTTAACCAACACGCTTACTTAAGAACGTGTTTCAAATGGTAATTTCTCGTAGAAAAATAAAGATTTTGCAAATAAGCTCCGCCTGTTTGCTCACAACGAATAAAGAAAAATCATCACAACTGAGACAGGGTGGGTGGGCGGAACTTATAATTTGACTTTTTTCTCAATTTAAACAAGTTTTCAATTTCTTGTCGTCAATAGAAAACTACGCACATATAAGGAAAAAGGCAAAAAAGGAAGTAGATGCTTAACCATCCAGCTATGAGAAGAGAAAGGTTGAATTTTCAATATTGCAACACAAGTTAGAACGTCAAATTTTATTCATTTCATCGGTTAAAAGTCACACTTCAAGATTTTTGTCTCGTCGAGGTCTAACCATCATTGTCATCCTCTTCAGACTATAATCGCTGTCCCTGAACGTTCCCCAGTACATAATTTTCCACCTAATCCCTGAATCTCTGGCTTTCTTCAAATACATCGCCGTGGGGTTACTTCGGGTACACTGGTTATACCACCAAGCTCCATCTATAATAACCTTCCCAGTAAACTAGTTAAAGACCCTTCAGAGCTTACGTTCATCGATTGCACAGTTACTATTATTTCGCATATCTTGGTCCTTATCTTGCGTGGTAAACTTCATCCCAGAATACCAATACATGGAATCGCCAGCGTCTCCACTGTACCCACTCACCGCTTTTAAAACGTACCCTTCGTTTTCCGAACCCACAACGAAAACCTTATAGTGAGCATAAACAACCTTGTTGTCCCAGTCAGCCATTTTCACCAACATTTCGTAATCCCCGGAAGCTAAAACACAAAATACAGCAGGTGGGTTTTTTGGTGTTAAGGTAGTACCAGTGATTTGATGCAAGTACTCCAGTCCCAACCAGTGCTCTCCCACTAGACTACCGAACCCAATTTTGTAGTCGTTCCACTTCAAATAAAAGTCCCTAGAACCATCGAACCTGTGCAAGAAGTACGTCCACCCTCCTCCTCTAGTGTCCATGTCGCAGAAAACAGCAAAGGGCTGCGGCCAGATTTTTGTTTGGATGGTGTACACCCCTGAGTCGCCATGTCCTCGTGATTTTACGTCCTGACAGTCGGTTGGATAATCGGCTGTGGATTGATGGGGGTCAGCATTTTTCTGTGGCTGGGTGTTCAGAATGGCCATAATTTTAACATTCTGTGACTCAAGGATGTCCAAGCGTCGGGTTATGTTTAACAGTATGTCTGATCGGGAGGTTTCAGAGGGGTGTTCGGTAGTTGAGACCACCTCACACTCGAGGTTATTAAATGTTGCCGTTAAAACCAAAATATACTGTAAGTTTAAATAGGCGTTCATTGTGCTTCCTTTAAGGTTTAACACAGAACATACACTGTTTTTTAATATTTTTATTGTATATCTCCAGCATTGTTTTGATAAAAGTAATGACCTTGTAGGTTATCAGCAGAAATGAAAAACCAACGAACGCACACCACGTCACCATATTGGAATTATTAAATCGAAAAATCTAAAATTTAAAACATTGAACAATTGAAATATCGCAAAATTGAAAAATGGAGAAATCCAAACATCAAAAAATCAAAAAAGAAAAATTCGAAAATCTAAAACTGAAAAATCGACAAATCGAAAAATTGGAAAAACGAAAAACCGAGAAATAGAAAAAAATTGAAAATTTTTAAAAAAGAAAAATTAACAATCGAAAAGTTGAAAAAAAATTGAGATATCGAAGTATAAAACTGTCGAAAAAATCTGAAGTTTAACAAAACATTGAAAATCCAAAAAGTAAAAAAGGGGTGGAAACCCAAAAACTGCAAACTGAAAAATTTTAAAATCGGAAAATCGACGAATTGGAATCGATTGGCCTGAAAATTTGAAAAATTGAATAAACGAAAAATTAAAAAATCGAAAGAAACAACAAAAATTAAGGAAATGAAAAAACAAAAAATTGTGATTTAAAAGCGAGAAAATGAAAAATAAAAAAATCAGGAAAATGCAAAATAAAAATCGGGGAAATGAAAAATTGAGGGGAGGGAAAATTGAAAAAGGGCACAATTAAAAATCGAGAATGTGAAAAATGGAAAAACGAGAAATTGTAATATCGAAAAATTGGAAAATTTGGAAGTCCACAAATTGTAAAATTGAAAAATCAAAAATAAAAAAACGAAAAAATGTATAATAAAAACTTAAAAAATGTACAAAGTGAAAATCAAACTTGAAAATTTGAAGAAAAATTGCTAAAAACCTGAAAATTTTAAAAATTTAATAAAGGAAAAATTGTAAAATCGAAAGAAACAACAAAAAATAAAGGAAATCAATAAAAGGAAAAATCGGAAACAAAAAATTGGAAAAGAGAAAAATGAAAAATTGAGAAACTGACAAATCGAAGAATGAAAATCTGTAATATTGAAAAATTGCAAATTGAAAAACCGAAGGAACGAAAAATTGAAAGTTTTGGAAGTCGAGAAATTGTAAAAAACGAAAAATTACAAAATGAAAACTTGAAAAATCTTAAGAATCGAAAAAGTGAAAAATAAAAAAAAAGAAATATGTATTACGAAAGAGAAATATTTAAAATTAAAGAAATTAGAAAATCGGAAGACTGGAAATCTAAAAACTGCAAAGTGAAAAATTTAAAAATTGAAAAATGGACGAACTGAAAATTCAATGTATGAAAATTTGAAAAATTGAACAAATGAAAAATTGTAAATTCGAAAAAAAAAACTCAGAAAATAAAGGAAATGAAAGAACGGACGATTGTGATATAAATCGAGAAAATAAAAATTAAAAATTTGCCACACTGAAAAATAAAAATCGGGAACATAAAAAATTGTGGAAACGAAAAACTGAAAAATCGAAAGAAACAACAAGAAATAAAGGAATTGAAAAATTTAAAATTCGTGACATAAAATCGAGAAAATGAGAATTAAAAAATCGGGAAAATGAAAAATAAAAATCGAGAACTTGAAAAATTGAGGAAACGAAAAATTGAAAATGACAAAATTTAAAAACTGAGAATGTGAAAAATCGAAAAATGAGAAACTGTAATATCGAAAAATTGTAAAATTAAAAAATTGCAACTCGAAAAATTGAAAAATTTAGAAGTCAAGAAACTGTAAAATTGGAAAACCAAAAATAAAAAACGAAAAATTTTATAATGAAAATTTGAAAAATCGAAAGATTAATAATTGAATAACTTAAAATTCGAAAAAGTGAAAAATAAAAAAAAAGGATATATGTATTGTAAAATGAAAATATTGAAAATCAAAGAAACTGAAAAATTAGAAGACTGGAAACCCAAAAACTGGAAATTGAAAAATTTTAAACGTGGAAAATCATGGAATTGAAAAATCAAAGTCTGAAAATTTGAAAAATTGAATAAGTAAAGAAGTCGAGAAATTGTAAAATTGAAAAATCAAAAATAAAAACCAAAAATTACAAAATGAAAACTTGAAAAATCTTAAGAATCGAAAAAGTGAAAAATAAAAAAAAAAGAAATATGTACATATTATGAAATAGAAATATTTAAAATTAAAGAAATTGGGAAACCGAAAGACTGGAAATCCAAAAACTGCAAAGTGAGAAATTTAAAAATTGTAAAATAGACGAACTGAAAATTTAAAGCCTGAAAATTTGTAAAATCGAAAAAAAAACACAGAAAATAAAGGAAATGAAGAAACGGACAATTGTGATATAAATCGCGAAAATAAAAATTAAAAATTCGCCACACTGAAAAATAAAAATCGGGAACATGAAAAATTGTGGAAACGAAAAATTGAGAAACTGAAAATTCGAAAAATTGAAAAATCGAAAGAAACAACACAAAATAAAGGAATTGAAAAAATTAAAATTTGTGATAAAATCGAGAAAATGAAAATTAAAAAATCGGGAAAATGAAAAATAAAAATCGAGAACTTAAAAAACTAAGGAAACGAAAAATTGAAAATATCGAAACTCCAGAATTTAAAAAAACTGAAAAATCAAAACATCGAAAAACCGAGAAATCGAAAAATCGAAACAACTCAATTTACATTGAGTATCAAAAATAAAACACCGATAGCTTTCGAATAATTTTGAATGTGTTGTGCTGATTTTTTTTATTTAAATATGATTATTATGATCAATTTTATTTTCGATATGATTTAGACACTTTACAACAGATTCATTTAAGACATCAATTTTGGAGACATTCATTAGTATAGGGGTGAATATTAAAGACTGTAATACATGTTAGAGTGTCAAATTTTATTTACATCTCATCAGTTAAATGTGGCTTTACTCGAGGCCTCACCATCATTTTCATCCTCTTCAAGCTATAATCAATGCCCCTAAACGTATACCAGTACATGATGTTGTACTTGTTAGGTGATACTCTCGCTTGCTTCAAATAAGTCGCTGTGGGGTTACTTTTCGTACACGCCTTGTACCACCAAGCTCCATCTGCATAATCCTTTCAATAGACAATTAAAAACCCCTTCTGAACTCACGAGAATCAACGGCACAGTTGCCGGTGGGTCGAAAATCATGGTCTCTATCCTGTGTGGTAAACTTCATTCCAGAATAATAAGACATAGAATCGCCAGCACTTCCGCTGTACCCACCCACAGCTTTCAAGACGTACCCCTCACTTTCTGCACCCACAACGAAAACGTCGTAGTTAGCATAGGCAACCACTTCGTCCCAATCCGCCATTTCCACCAACATTTCGTAATTTCCAGAGACTGAAACACAAAATTATTCGATTTCTTTGTTATGAGGACAGTACCTGTGAGCTGGTGCAGATACTCCAGCCCCAACCAGTGCTCCTCCAGCAAACTCCCGAACCCAATTTTGTAGTCGCTCCATTTCAAATAAAATTCCGTAGAACCATCGAACCTATTGAAGAAGTAGGTCCACCCACCTCCCTTCGTGTGCATGTCGCAAAATACGGCAAAGGGTTGCGGAGAGATTTTCGTTTTGATGATGTACACCCCTGAGTCGGTGTGTCCTCTTGCTTTTACTTCGTAGCAGTCGTTGGGGTAGTCGGATTTTTGAAATTCGGGTATTTTTTGTGTCTGGGTATTTAGGAGAACGGTCATCATTTTGACGTTTTGTGCCTCAAGGATGTCCATGCGACGGGTTATATTTAAGAGTAGGTCTGATTGTGAGGTTTCAGGGGGGTGCTCAGTGGTTGAGACCACTCCACACTCGAACTTAGAAATTGTTGTTAAAACCAAAATACACTGTAAATAGAAATAGACGCTCATTGTGCTTCTGTTTCAGTTTAACACTAAATACAAAATGTTTTTCAATACTGTTCTTCGGTATTTCCATCACTTGTTTGATAAAATTGGCGAACTATGCAATAGGTTATCAGAAGATTTCTCGATTCTTTAAGGTTTTTTATTATTTTAATTTTTTTAATTTTTTCTATTTTTGGATTTTTTTTTGACTTTTGAATTCCTGGATTTTTTGAATTCTGTGTTTCTTGGAATTTTTTAAATTTTATATTTTTCGGATTTTTTTAGTTTCTTGAGTAGCTAGGGTTTTGACTTCTTTCGACTTACTGAATTTCTTGAGTTTCTTGGATCTTTTTGATTTTTTGGATTTCCTGAATTTTTTGAACTATCGAATTCTGAGATCTCGTTTCTTAGGTTTTTTGGCTTTACTGTTTCTTTTATTTTTCGGATCTTTTGAGTTCCTTGAGTCCTGGGGTTTTTGGATTGTTCCGATTTTTTGCGTTTTTTGAATTACTAAATGGTCCTGAGTTTGTTAGACTTTGGGCATTTTTCAAGCTTTTTTGTTGTCTTGTCTTTAGATTTTTTGGACTTTTTCAATTACAGATTTGGATTTTTCCTTATATTCTAATTTTTTGATTTTTTTTTTTGATATATTTGAATTTTTGGAATTGTCGATTTTTGGAATTGTTGTATTTCTTGGGTTCTGTGGACTTTTTTGTTTTTTCCTTTTCCAGAATGCTTAGATTTTTTGCCTTTTATGTTTTTTGGTTTTTTCGATTCCCTTAGGATTTTTGCTTTTTTTGGATTTTTTTTGGCTTTTTGAATTTTTGGATTTTTTTCATTTTTTACATTTCTTGGATTTTTGGAATTATTGGATTTCGAGTTTCTTGGATTTTCTAAATTTTTTGTTTTCTTTTAGTTTCTTGAGTTTTTGGATCATTTCGCTTATTGCATTTTTGGAATAACCAAATTTCTTGTATTTCTTGGATTTTTGAATTTTTTGTTTTTTTCTATTTATCAGATCTTTTAAGTTTCTTTAGTTTCTTGGATTTTTGGATAGTTCCAATTTTTTGGATTTTTTGAATTACTAGATTTCTTGAATTTCTTGGATTGTGCGGACCTTTTTGGTTTTTTGGATTTTTTACATTTTTTGGCCTTTTTTAATAATTTGGATTTTTCCTTATATGTATTTTAATTATTTGGAATTTTTTTAGATATTTTCGATTTTTTGGCATTATTGATTTTTGGAATTATTGGGTTTCTTGGATTTCTTAGGTTCTGTAGCTTTTTATTTTTTCCTTTTCCGATGTGTTAGATTTTTGGCTTTTTATGTTTTTTTTGGTTTTGTCGATTTTTTCAGGTTTTTTGAATTTATTTGTAGTTTTTAATTTTTTGTTTTTTTCTTATTTTTTTAAATTTTCTTGGAATTTTTGATTTTTTCTATTCTTTGGTTTTCTTGGATTTTTGGAATTATTGGATTTCGAGTTTAAGCTTCTTTTTTTTGAATTTTCTGAAGTTTTTATTTTTCGGATTTTTGGTTTCTTGAGTATCTTGGGCTTTTTTTTATTTTTTCGATGTCTTGGATTTTTTAAATTATTGAGTTCTGAGATTTAGTTTTTTGGGTTTTTTGAATATTTAGTTTTTTTGTTTTTCAGATATTTTGAGTTTCTTGAGTTTTCGGATAGTTTTGATTTTTTGGACCTTTTTAATTATTTGGATTTTTCCTTGTACTTTAATTTTAATGGATTTTTTGGATGTTTTCGATTTTTTGGAATTCATGATTTTTAGAATTATTGGATTTCTTGAGTTTCTTGGGTTTCTTGTGATTGTTTCTATATTTTTTCCATTCTCTGGATTTCTTAAATTGTTTTGTTTTGTTTTTCGATTTTTCAATTCTTTCAGATTTTTTTAAATTTTTTGGATCTTTCATGTTTTGGATTTTTGGATTTTTGGATTTTTTTTGGATATTGGAATTATTGGATTTCTAGTTTGTTGGTTTGGCAGTTTAATTACTGCCTCTAAAATCGTCCCAGTACCCAATCTGCCACCTATCTGCTTCCGTCACATTTCCTCTCAACTAAAATATTTTTTTGAGTTTTATTTTTAAGAAAGGGGCAGTACTTACTTTGTTAGTGGATTCAGACTGTGATGCATTGACAATTTTTACTATGAAAATTTGCAAAAAAACTATTTTTATATACTTGTCCATTTTAACTTTGTAGTGCTGAAGTGAGATGTTAGCGTTTCTTTTTTAACTTATAATTAACTTTAAATTTCGAAAACTGAAAAATTGTGAAAACCGAAAGTTCAAAAAACGAAAAATTGAAAATCCAAAAAGTAAAAAGTCGAGAAATCGAAAAATCCAGAAGGTGAAAAATCCAAAAGTCGAAATACTAAAAAATCACAAAATTGAAAAATTGAAGAATCGAAAAACTGAGAAAACTTACAAAATTGAACGAAATATCCAAAAATTGGGAAACTAAATATTGAAAAATTGGAAAATCGAAAAATTGAGGAACTGAAAAACTGAATATTCAGAAACGTCAAAACTTGAAAATTTAAAAAATTGGAAAATTGAAAAATCGGGTAATTCAAAAATCGAAAAGTCGAAAAGAAAAAAGCGAAAAACCGATAAATTGAAAAATCGAAACATCGAAAAATTCAAAAACTGAGACAATCAAAACATCGAAACATCCGAATCTCGATAAATCGAGTTCTCAAAAAATTGAAAAACTTAAAATTAAAAAATTCTGAAAAAGAAAAATTAAAATATACAAGAATTGAAAACTCGAAAAATTGATCGATATACATATTGAAAAATACGAAAATTGAAGAATCGAAATATTGAGAAATCGAGAACTCAAAATTCGAAAAATCGCAGTTCAAAAATCGAAAATTTAAAAATTTGAAAAATCAATAAATTGAAAATCGAGGAATTGATAAATTTCAAAACTAAAATGACGAAAAATTGATAAACAGAAACATCGAAGAACTCAAAAATTGAAAAATTGAGCAATCGGGAAATCTAGAAATCGAGAAATCGAAAAATCGAAACATCTAAAATTCGAAAAACTCAGAAAACTGAAAAATTTAATACCAAAAATTGAAAATTTCCAAAATTCCAAAACTAAGACATCGAAAAATTGAAAAATAGAGAATCGAAAAGTCGAAAAACCGAAGTCCAAAAATCGAAAATTTAAAAAATCAAAAACCGCTAAATCGAGAAATCGAATGCAAGAAATTGTAAAACCGAAAAATCAAAGACCGAGAACTCGAAAAATTGAAAAGTGAAGGATCAAATGTCGAAAAACCAATGGCCAAAAATGAATTAAAAAATCAAAAACCGAGAAATCGAAAAGTTGCAAAATCGAAAAATCAAAAATTCTAAAGATAAGAAAAAATAAAAAATCGAAAAATCTAAGACCAAGAACTCGAAAAACGGAAAAATAATGAAATCGAGATATTAACGAACTGAGAAACCTAAAATATAAAAATTCAAAAAACTGAAAAATCGAAACACCGAGAATTCGGAAAATTTAGAAATCGAGAAAAATCGTAAAATCAAAAAATTTAAAAATAGAAAAGTAAAAAAGTCGAAAAACAAAAAAATTGAAGAATTAAAATATTGAAACCTAAGAAATCAAGAAATTGAAACATCAAAAGATCGAATAATCGAGAAATCGAAAAATCGAGTTACCGAAATTTCGAAAAATTGAGATATTGGAAAATCAAAAATTTAAAAAATTGATAAATCGAAAAACCGGAAAATCTAAAACCGATAAGTCGAAAAATCGAATAATCATGAAATCGAAACTTTAAAAGTCGAAAAACCTAGAAAACTGAAAAATTTAGTAGGTACCAAATATCGAAAAATTGAAAAATTTCAAAACTATGACATCGAAAAATTGAAAAATAGAGAATCGGAAAATCGAAAAATGAGAAGTCGATACATCGAAAAATCAAAAATTTTTAAGATAAAAAAATTGAAAAACCGAAAAATCAAAGACCGAGAACTCGAAAAACGGAAAAATCGTGAAATCGAAACATCAAAACACTAAGAAATTTAAAATTTAAAAATTCGAAAAATCGAAAAATCGAGAAATCTGGAAATTTAGAAATCGAAAAACCGGAACATCAAAAAATCGAAAAGTAAATTCCGGAAATAAAAATATAGAAAAGTCCAAAAACTAAAAAACTGAAGAATTGAAATATTGAAAATCCCAAAATTGCAATATAGAAAAATTTAAAAGGAAAAAAACTGAAAAAAATCCAAAACCGAGACATCGAAAAGTCAAAAAATCGAAGTCCAAAAAGCGAAAATTTAAAAAATCAAAAACCTGAAAAATCGAAAAATTGAACAATTTAAAAATCGAAAAGTCGAAAAATCGAAAAATCGAACCATTGAAATCAGAAAAGTGGAAAAATCGAAAGACCGAACAACTGAAAGAAGAATGAAAACATCGACAAATTTAAAAATCCAAAAATTTAAAGAACAAAAATTTAAAAATTCGAAGAATTGAAAAACAAAAACATCAAAAATTTAAAAAATTGAAAGATTAAAATATTGACAATTTGAAGAATTGATTGAAAAATCGGGAAATGGAAGCATCAACAAGTCGTAAAACTGTAAAAATCTAGAATTTAAAAATTAAAATTTGAAAAACCGAGAAATCGAAAAATGGAAATTCCAAAATTTACACACAAAAATAGAAAAATCGACTACTTGAACAATCGAAAACCTGCAAAATTAGGAAATTAAAAAATTTCTCAACTTAAATGACGAAAAATTGGAAAAAATTGTAAAAACAGCTGAAGAATCAAGAAATCGGGGCAACAAAAGATCGAGAAATCGAGAAATCGAAAACTGAAAAGTCGATTTGTCGAAAAATCAAAATTTTAAGTATAAAAAAATTGAAAAACCGAATTATTGAAATCAGGAAAGTGGAAAAATCGAGAGACCGAGCAACTGAAAGAAGAATTAAATAAAACACCGAAAAATTTAAAAAATCATAAATTGAAAAGTCTCCAGAATTGAAAATTTGAAAAATTGGGGAATCGAAAACTGGAAATATCGAAAAATTTAAAAAAGGAAAGTTTCAAAAATTGTTTGAATTGGAAAATGCAAAAACCGAAAAAGGTAAAATTTAAAATATCGAACGATCGAAATATCAAATATGATTATATAAAAATCCTGAATATTGAAAAATAGAAATACCGAAGAACTGAAAACTCGATAAATCGAGAAATTGAAAAATATAAAATTTAAAAAAATTGAAAATCGAATAGTCGATAGATCGAAAAACCTTGAAATTGAGAAATCGGAATATTTAAGAATCGAAAAATTGGAAATTCCACAATTGAAAAATTCCGAAATTGTAACATCGAAAGATCGAGAAATCGGAAAGTCGAGAAATTAAAAAAAAAACAAAAACTTAAAGAACACAAATTAAAAAAGTCTAAAGTTTGAAAAATAAAAATATCAAAAATTTAAAAAACTGAAAGATTAAAATGTCCAAAATTTGAAGAATTAAAATGCTGACAAATCTCGAAGTGGAAGCATCAACAAGTCGAAAAACTGCAAAAATCTAAAATTTTAAAAATCGAAAATTTGAAAAACAGAGAAATCGACAAATGGAAATTCCAAAATTTAAACCCAAAAATAGAAAAATCGACTACTTGAAAAATCGAAAACCTGCAAAATTGAGGAATTGAAAAATTTCTCAACTTAAATTACCAAAAATTGGAAAAAATTGTCAGAACAACTTTGAGAAATATTGAGAAATTGAGAAATGGAAAAGTCAAAAATCCAGGTCCAAAATCGAAAATTAAAAAAAATGAAAAATTGATAAATCGAAAAACTGAAAAAATTGAGGATTTGAGAAACAGAAACATCGAAGAACTCAGAAATTGAAAAACTGAGAACTCGAGAAATCTAGAAATCGAGAAATCAAAAAATCGAAACAGCTAAAAGTCGAAAAAGTGAGAAAACTGGAAAACTTAACGCCAAAGATCGAACAATTAACAAATTCCAAAACTAAGACATCGAAAAATTGAAAAACCGAAATCTAAAAATCGAATATTTAAAAACCAAGAAATCGAAAAGTTGCAACATCGAAAAATTCAAAAACTGTAACATCAAGAAATCTGAGCAACAAAAGATCGAGAAATCGAGAAATCGAAAACTGTAAAGTCGATTGGTCGAAAAATCATAGATTTTAAACAAAAAAATCGAAAAACTGAATAATTGAAATCAGGAAAGTGGAAAAATCGAAAGACCGAGGAAGTGAAAGGAGAATTAAAACACCGAAAAATTAAAAAAATCAGAAATTGAAAAGTTTCCAGAATTGAAAATTTGAAAAATTGGGGAATCGAAAATTGGAAATATCGAAAATTTAAAAAAGGAAAGTTTCAAAGTTTTTTGAATTAAAAACTGCAAAAATATCGAACAATCGAAATATCAAATATGTATATAAAAATCCTGAAAACTGAAAAATAGAAGTACCGAAGAACTGAAAACTCGAAAAATCGAGAAACTGAAAAATCTAAAATTAAAAAAATCTGGATTTATCGAGATGTTTTGATTGTCTCAGTTTTTGAATTTTTGAGGTTATCAATGGGACAGTGCTGATTTGCTTATCTGTCTTAATTATTTTTTTGAATATTGATCCACTATTGGTGGTTAAATGAATTAAAAGGTCATCAAAACTTGACCGTTTCATTGATATATTAATACAATTTTAGATGTTGTTTTATTGGTTGTTACAAATAAATGACAATTTATTGACAACTGGTGATCAAAATTGGGGTAAGACGATAACAGAATCAACCTTGCAAACCTAGAGCAAATAATAAGAATTTCACAGGAGCCATAATTCTAGGTCCACAGTTCTCCTGGCCTCAACATCATCCTCACTTGCTTCAGACTGTACGTGTTTGGGTGAAACAGGTCCCAATGTATACCTTGATTAGTGCTGGTGTTACCTCTGATGTATTTGCCGGTGAGTTTACTCCTGAAGCAAGCCGCATACCACCACCCCCCATCTGAAACAACGTATTTATAACCACACTGTATGTAAAACGTCTTCAACTAACTGTAATGGTTAGCACAATGTACGGTATCATGGGCATCCTGATCTTTATCCTTCGTACTAAACTTCCGTCCGTCATGTGCCGCCAGACAATCTCCAGCATTGCCACTATAATCACCAATTTTCAACCCATAACCTTTATCTTCACTCCCGACTCTAAAAGTGCCATAATATGCATACACCTTCCCGTTTTCCCAGTCGATCAATTCGATTAAAAGTTCGCTGACTTGGGTACTTTCTGGTACAAAAAAAAAATAATTGCGTGTCGTTATGAGTCAAATTTTACCTGTTAGAGCGTGCATCTTGTCTAACCCCAACCAAAACTCTCCATTCAGGTTACCAAAACCGTCTTTGTAGTCGTTCCAAGGCTGAACCGTCGTACCTGTTCATCAAGTACGTCCATCCTCCGCCTCTTGTTTTCATGTCACATAGTACCAGAAAAGAGTCGGTGGAGGGGTCAGGTTGAATGCGATAGAGACCATTTATTCGGTTGGTTCGGAGGTGAGGTTTTCGTCTATTTTGACATTATGGAGCTTCAAAACCTTCTCTAGGTATCTTTGGATTTGGGTCATTTTCAACTCGAATCTTTCTAGACGGTGTTTCGTTTCGGTGAGGGATTTTCGAATTTCGAACTGGTCTTCGAATATAATTTCGTCATTTTGGAGGTATGGAGGAAACGGAGGTTTGCTGGTTGAGACGACTGAAAACTAGACGAAAGAGATTTTTGAGTGATTGATGTTGTTTTGCTTACCGTCAAGTCGTCACTTCGTACTGAGGTTATACAAAGTGTTGACGAAATGATGATCATGCAGAAATTTACTTTGGAATTCATAGTGGCGACACTTATGCATAATGAGGTTGTTTTTAAATGCGTGCGTTTTATGCAAACTGTTTTTGAACGATAAGAGAAGTCATAGTTCGTTTCGACAGTGTGATAAACTTGGTCGGAAAAAAAAATTATTATTATATATTTGATAGTAATTGCTATTTTGTCAATAATTGTTGTAAGAATATACAAATTCATTTCTTCACTGGCAATACGTTGGAACTGTAACGCCCTCTGGGTCTAACCATCATCCCGACCTTCTTCAAACTGTAAGCACTCCCTCTAAAACCGTCCCAGTACACAATCTGCCACCTATCCGCTTCCGTCACATTTCCTCTCAAGTACCTAGCTGTTGGGTTACACATGGTACACGAATTGTACCACCAACTTCCCTCTAAAACACACCAATCAAACCACTACCATTTTCCAACACCCATACGAACTCTCTTGGGCTGCACAATTATTCCCCGGCCGCAAATCTTGATCCCTATCCAGAGTGGTGAATTTCATCCCAGCTTGGTACCGCAACGAATCCCCAGCGGTACCACTATAAGAACCCAGGACCTTCATTGGATAGCCTTCGTCTTCACTACCAACCGCGAAGGCGTTGTACGCAGCATGGACCTTTCCTCCCTCAAAATCCTCCAGTTCTACCAGCAACTCGTTGGCGTCAAAACCTACCCAGACAGATTAATCACACTAGAGTGGAGACCTTTTACCTGTCAACTGATGCAAAGCCTCCAAACCTAGCCAAAACTCCCCCGACAAACTCCCAAAACCATTTTTGTAGTCAGTCCAGTTTAAGTAAAAGTTCTGGGAACCGTCAAACCTGCTCAAAAAATAGGCCCATCCACCCCCGCTGGTGTCCATGTCGCACAAGACCATGAACGATTCCGAGGAGTATTTAGGTTGGATTAGGTACATTCCAGAGACTTTGTTGCCGCTGTCTTTTATGTCTTTGCAACTAGTTGGGAAAGATTTCGTCTGGGTGGGAGTTTTCGCATTGGCTAATTTTTCCAGCAAGGTTTGAATCGAATTCAGGTGCAAATTTACTGAGTCGAGGGTGGTTTGTAGTTGGGTGTTTTGACGTTCGAGTGCTTGCAGCCGCTGGGTGTTTTCTTTGAGGGTTTGTGTGTATTCGATTCTTGTCTCTATTTTGGCGAGGAAGTCAGAAAGGGTGGGAACTTCAGGTTTCGTTGTGGAAACAGCAACAAACTAAAATATTTTCTTGGGTTTTATTGTTAAGAATGGGGTCAGTACTTACTTCGCTAGTGGATGCACTGAAAGTTTTTGCTACGAAAATTTGCAAGAAAATTGTTACAATTATTTTTAAATTTTTGGCCATTTTAACCTTGTAGTGCAGCGAGTTGTTGGTGTTTGTTGCTTAAATTTATAAATGGTGCGAAGTGTAGAGGTTATCGACGGGAAAGTCCTGGTTTGCTTATCTGTCTTCATTTTTTTTTATTAATGATGCGCTATTGGTGGTTAAATGTACTAAAAGATCATCAAAACTGACCTGTTTTATTGATTTTTATTTTAATTTTAGATGTTGTTTTATTGGTCTGTGGCGACACAATAATACGTAGTAGCAATCTTCGTAGTCTAGTGGTGAAGGCATTTTTCGCTTACTCTACAGGTTGTACAAATAAATAATGACAATTTATTTAAAATTGGTGATCAAAAATCGGCTAACAATTGGGGTAAAACGATAACAGAATCAACCTTGCAAACTTAGAGTAAATAATAAGAATTTCACAGGAGCCATAATTCTACGTCCACAGTTCTCTTCATTTGCTTGAGACTGTACGTATTTGGATGAAACAGAGGTTCCATTTCAGTCCGAAGATGGCTCATTTGTGGTAGAAACCACTACAAACTGAAAGAAATTATAATTTAACTTTTTTTTCTTCTTAATGTGCATACTTTTCAGGATAAAAGACTGAAAATATATTTAAGATGGTAAATTTTATTTCCCTCACTTCTCTACAGATTGACCAATTCAAACAAATTTTCAATTTCTTGTCGTGAATAGAAAACTACGCACATATAAGAAAAACAAAATTAAAATATAAACCCCACCCACCCACCCTCGTCTCAATTGTGATGAATTTTCTTATTCGTCGTGAGCCGAGGGGCGGAGCTTAATTTAGGTTTACGTTTTTTGCTTAAAACTTTTCTTTGAACAAAACATTTACTTAAGAACGTATTTCAAATGGTAAGATCTTGTAGAAAAATAAAGAATTTGGCAATTAAGCTCCGAATCCTTGCTGAAAACCAATCAAGAAAAATCGTCACAACTAAGACAGGGTGGGTGGGCGGGGCTTATAATTTGACTTTTTTCTTCTTCTTAATATATATACTCTTCATAATAAAAGAGTGAAAACATGTTTGAAATTGTAAATTTTATCCCCTACACTTCTCTACAAATTGATCAATTTAAACAAATTTTCAGTTTCTTGTCGTGAATAGAAAACTACGCACATATAAGAAAACAAAATAAAAATATAAACCCGCCCACCCACCCTCGTCTCAATTGTGATCAATTTTCTTATTCGTCGTGAGCCGAGGGGCGGAGCTTAATTTAGGTTTTCGTTTTTTAATTAAAACTTTTCTTTGAACAAAACGCTTAGTTAAGAACATGTTTGAAATGAAAGTTCTGGTAGAAAAATAAGGTTTCAGCAATTAAGCTCCGCCTCCTTGCTGACAAAGAATTGAAAAAATTGTCCCTACTGAGACAGGGTGGGTGGGCGGGGCTTACTTTTTTTTTACTTTTTTTTTTCTTAATGTACACACCCTTCACCGACAAAGACTGAAAACATATTTGAAATGGTAAATGTTATCTCCCACACTCCTCTAAAAATTTACCATTCTAAACAAGCTTTCAGTTTCTTGTCGTCAATAGAAAACTATGCACATATAAGAAAAACAAAATTAAAATACAAACCCCGCCCACCCACCCTCATCCTAATTGTGATACATTTTTCTTATTCGTCGTGAGCCGAAGGGCGGAGCTTAACTTAGGTTTTCGTTTTTACTTAAAACTTTCCTTTGAACAACACGCTTACTCAAGAACGTGTTTCAAATGGTAAGTTTTCGTAGAAAAATAAGGATTTGGCAGTTAAGCTCCGCCTCCTTGCTGACAAAGAATTGAAAAAATTGTCCCTACTGAGACAGGGTGGGTGGGCGGGGCTTACTTTTTTTTTACTTTTTTTTTTCTTAATGTACACACCCTTCACCGACAAAGACTGAAAACATATTTGAAATGGTAAATGTTATCTTCCACACTCCTCTAAAAATTTACCATTCTAAACAAGCTTTCAGTTTCTTGTCGTCAATAGAAAACTATGCACATATAAGAAAAACAAAATTAAAACACAAATCCCGCCCACCCACCCTCCTCTCAATTGTGATGAATTTTCTTATTCGTCGTTAGCCGAAAGGCGGTGTGTTTCAAATAGTAAGTTGTCGTAGAAAAATAAGAATTTTACAATTAAGCTCCGCCTCCTTGCTGACAATGAATAAAGAAAAATCGTCACAACTGAGACAGGGTGGGCGGGCGGGGCTTATAATTTGACTTTTTTCTTCTTCTTAATATATATATACTCTTCATAATAAAAGAGTGAAAACATGTTTGAAATTGTAAATTTTATCCGCTACACTTCTCTACAAATTTACCATTTTAAACAAGTTTTCAGTTTCTTGTGGTCAATAGAAAACTACGCACACATAAGAAAAAAAATTAAAATATAAACCCCGCCCACCCACCCTCATCCTAATTGTGATAAATTTTTCTTATTCGTCGTGAGCCGAAGGGCGGAGCTTAATTTAGGTTTTGGTTTTTTACTTAAAACTTTTCTTTAAACATAATGCTTACTCAAGAACGTGTTTCAAATGGTAAGTTCTCGTAGAAAAATAAGGATTTTGCAGTTAAGCTCCGCCTGTTTGCTCACAACGAATAAAGAAAAATCATCACAATTGAGACAGGGTGGGTGGGCGGGTCTTATGATTTGACTTTTTTCTTCTTCTTAATATACATACTCTTCACATCAAAAGAGTGAAAACATATTTGAAATGGTAAATTTACCAACAAGTATTCAGTTTCTTGTGGTGAATAGAAAACTACGCACATATAAGAAAAACAAAATTAAAATACAAACCCCGCCCATCCACCCTCATCCTAATTGTGAACCATTTTTCTTATTCGTCGTGTGCCGAAGGGCGGAGCTTAATTTAGGTTTTCGTCTTTTACTTAAAACTTTCCTTTGAACAACACGCGTACTCAAGAACGTGTTTCAAATGGTAAGTTGTCGTGAAAAAATAAGGATTTTGCAATTAAGCTCCGCTTCTTTGCTGACAACGAATATTGAAAAATCATCACAATTGAGACAGGGTGGGTGGGCGGGGCTTATGATTTGACTTTTTTCTTGTTCTTAATATACATACTCTCCACATCAAAAGAGTGAAAACATATTTAAAATGGTGAATTTACCAATTTAAACAAGTTTTCAGTTTCTTGTCGTCAATAGAAAACTACGCAAATATAAGAAAAAGGGCAAAAAAGGAAGTAGATGTTTAAACATCCAGCTATGAGAAGCGAAAGGTTGAAACTTCAATATTGCAACACAAGTTATAGGTAACGTTAAATTTTATCCATATCATCGGTTAAAAGTCACACTTCAAGACAGAAATCGAAAAATCTAAAATTTAAAACAATTGAAATATCGCAAAATTGAAAAATGGAGAAATCCAAACATCAAAGAATCAAAAAAGAAAAATTCGAAAATCTAAAACTTAAAAATCGAAAAATTGAAAAATCGACAAATCGGAACTCCAGAATTTAAAAAAATTGAAAAATCGGATAACTGAAAAATCGAAACATCGAAAATTAATAATCAAAAAGTTGAAAAAAGATTCAGAAATCGAAGTATAAAACTGTCGAAAATTTGAAAAATCTAAAGTTTAACAAAACATTGAAAACCCAAATAGTAAAAAAGGGGTGGAAACCCAAAAACTGCAAACTGAAAAATCTTAAATTGGAAAATCGACGAATTGGAATCGATTGCCCTGCAAATTTGAAAAATTGAATAAACGAAAAATTAAAAAATCGAAAGAAACAACAAAAATTAAGGATATGAAAAAGCAAAAAATTGTGATATAAAATCGAGAAAGTGAAAATAAAAAAATCGGGAAATTGAAAAATAAAAATCGGAAACAAAAAATTGCAAAAGGGAAAAATGAAAAATTGAGAAACTGAAAAATCGAAAAATGAAAATCTGTAATATTGAAAAATTGCCAAGTTGAAAAACTGATGTTAACTGAACAATTGAAGGAACGAAAAATTGAAAATTTTGGGTCGAGAAATTGTAAAATTGAAAAATCAAAAATTAAAAACGAAAAATTACAAAATGGAAACTTGAAAAATCTTAAGAATCGAAAAAGTGAAAAATAAAAAAAAAAAGAAATATGTACATATTATTAAATAGAAATATTTAAAATTAAAGAAATTGGAAAATCGGAAGATTGGAAATCCAAAAACTGCAAAGTGAAAAATTTAAAAATTGAAAAATGTACGAAGTGAAAATTCAAAGCCTGAAAATTTGAAAAATTGAACAAATGAAAAATTGTGAAATCGAAAAAAACTCAGAAAATAAAGGAAATGAAAGAACGGACGATTGTGATATAAATCGAGAAAATTAAAATTAAAAATTCGCCACACTGAAAAATAAAAATCGGGAACATGAAAAATTGTGGAAACGAAAAATTGAGAAACTGAAAATTCGAAAAATCGAAAGAGACAACAAAAAATTAAGGAACTGAAAAAAAATTGGTGACAAAATCGAGGAAATGAAAATTTAAAAAAATAGGGAAAATTAAAAATAAAAATCGAGAACTTGAAAAATTGAGGAAACGAAAAATGGAAAATGACAAAAATTAAAAACTGAGAATGTGAAAAATCGAAAAATAAGAAACTGTAATATCGAAAAATTGTAAAATTAAAAAATTGCAAATCGAAGAATTGAAAAATTTTAATTTCTTAATTTCCTTTATTTTTTTGTCGTTTCTTTCGATTTACAATTCTTTATTTATTCAATTTTTCAAATTTTCAGGTTTTCATTTCTCGATTCCATGATTTTCCAGGTTTAAAATATTTCAATTTGCAGTTTTTGGATTTCCAATCTTCCAATTTTTCAGTTTCTTTAATTTTCAATATTTTGATTTTACAATACATATTTCTTTTTTTTTTATTTTTCAGTTTTTCGAATTTTAAGTTTTTTAATTTTTAATCTTTCGATTTTTCAAATTTTCATATTTGATTTTCACGTTTGACATTTTTCAAGTTTTCATCATAAACTTTTTCGTTTTTTTATTTTTGATTTTTCAGTCTTACAATTCTTGACTTCTAAATTTTTCAATTTTTCAATTTACAATTTTTTAATTTTACAATTTGTCGGTGTTAAGTTTCTCATTTTTCGATTTTTCACATTCTCAGTTTTTAATTTTTGTCATTTTCAATTTTTGGTTTCCTCAATTTTTCAATTTCTCAATGTTTATTTTTCATTTTATGTAACAAATTTTAATTTTTTCAATTCCATTATTTTTTGTTGCTTCTTTCGTTTTTCAATTTTTCGTCTCTTCAATTTTTCGAATTTTCAATTTCTCAATTTTTCGTTTCCACAATTATTCATGTTCCCGATTTTTATTTTTCAGTGTGGCGAATTTTTAATTTTTATTTTCCCGATTTATATCACAATTGTCCATTTCTTCATTTCCTTGATTTTCTGTGTCTCTTTTTTCAATTTCACAATTTTTCATTTGTGCAATTTTTCCAATTTTCAGGCTTTGAATTTTCAGTTCGTCAATTTTTCAATTTTAACATTTTTCACTTTGCAGTTTTTGGATTTCCAGTCTTCCGATGTTCCAATTTCTTTAATTTTAACTATTTATATTGCATAATATATACATATTTCTTTTTTTTTTTTACTTTTTCGATTCTTAAGATTTTTCAAGTTTCCATTTTGTAATTTTTCGTTTTTTATTTTTTATTTTTCAATTTTACAATTTCTCGACTTTCAAAATTTTCAATTTTTCGTTCCTTCAGTTTTTCAATTTGGCAATTTTTCAATATTACAGATTTTCATTTTTCGATTTTTCAGTTTCTCAATTTTTCATTTTTCCATTTTCCAATTTTTGTTTTTATATCACAATTTTTCTTTTTTTGATTTCCTTTATTTTTTGTTGTTTCTTTCGATTTTACAATTTTTCCTTTATTAAATTTTTCAAATTTTCAGCTTTTTAGCAATTTTTCTTAAAATTTTCAAGTTTGATTTTCACTTTGTACATTTTTAAAGTTTTCATTATACACTTTTTCGTTTTTTTATTTTTGATTTTTCAATTTTACAATTTGTCGACTTCCAAATTTTCCAATTTTTCGATATTACAATTTCTCATTTTTCCATTTTTCACATTCTCGATTTTTAATTGTGCCCTTTTTCAATTTTCCGTCCCCTCAATTTTTCAACTCCCCGATTTTTATTTTGCATTTTCCTGATTTTTTTTTCATTTTCTCGATTTTATATCACAATTTTTTGTTTTTTCATTTCCTTAATTTTTGTTGTTTCTTTCGATTTTCCAATTTTTAGTTTATTCAATTTTTCAAATTTTCAAGCCAATCGATTCCAATTCGTCGATTTTCCAATTTTTAAATTTTTCAGTTTACCGTTTTTGGGTTTCCACCCCTTTTTTACTTTTTGGAATTTCAATTTTTCGTTAAACTTTAGATTTTTCAAATTTCGAGAGTTCTATACTTCGATTTCGATTCTTGAATTTTTCGGTTTTTCGATTTCTTTTCTTCGATTTTTTTCTCAGTTTTTGAATTTTTGAGGTTATCAATGGGACAGTGCTGATTTGCTTATCTGTCTTAATTATTTTTTTGAATAATGATCCACTATTGGTGGTTAAATGAATTAAAAGGTCATCAAAACTTGACCGTTTCATTGATATATTAATACAATTTTAGATGTTGTTTTATTGGTTGTTACAAATAAATGACAATTTATTGACAACTGGTGATCAAAATTGGGGTAAGACGATAACAGAATCAACCTTGCAAACCTAGAGTAAATAATAAGAATTTCACAGGAGCCACAATTCTAGGTCCACAGTTCTCCTGGCCTCAACATCATTCTCACTTGCTTAAGACTATACGTATTTGGATGAAACAGGTCCCAATGTATACCTTGATTAGTGCTGGTGTTACCTTTGATGTATTTGCCGGTGAGTTTACTCCTGAAGCAAGCCGCATACCACCACCCCCCATCTGAAACAACGTATTTATAACCACACTGTATGTAAAACATCTTCAACTAACTGTAATGGTTAGCACAATGTACGGTATCATGGGCATCCTGATCCTTATCCTTCGTACTAAACTTCCGTTCGTCATGTGCCGCCAAACAATCTCCAGCATTGCCACTATAGTCACCGATTTTCAACCCATAACCTTTATCTTCACTCCCGACTCTAAAAGTACCATAATATGCATACACCTTCCCGTTCTCCCAGTCGATCAATTCGATTAAAAGTTCGCTGACTTGGGTACTTTCTGGTACAGAAAAAAATAATTGTGTGTGGTTATGAGTCAAATTTTACCTGTTAGAGCGTGCATCTTGTCTAACCCCAACCAAAACTCTCCATTCAGGTTACCAAAACCGTCTTTGTAGTCGTTCCAAGGCAAGTCAAAATTTTCTGAACCGTCGTACCTGTTCATCAAGTACGTCCATCCTCCGCCTCTTGTTTTCATGTCACATAGTACCAGAAAAGAGTCGGTGGAGGGATCAGGTTGAATGCGATAGAGACCATTTATTCGGGCACCTCTTTCATGGTATATTTGGCAGTCTTTAGGGTGGTTACTAAGGTGTAACGGAAGCAAAGAAATTTCTGGTAAGGCATTTCTGTCCGATCGGTGTGGTTTGTCTTGTAGAAGTGTGATTTTTAGTTCCAGAGGGTGCAACGAAGTGTTGGTGTTGAAGGAAGTTGGGTCATTTGTGGTAGAAACTACTTCAAACTGAAAGAAATATTTAGGTACTACTGATCAAAGTTTTAGTTTTAGTGTTACTCACGGGTTCAAGTGTGGCAGTGGCACAAACTAAAGTTATTAGAAAAAACACTGCACCACACATTTCGTAACGACTGCTCTTTTAACACTGTTAATCGTGAAAGTATTGACCTAAGATTAGCGCTGCATAAACAACTTTAAATTAAAAGTTATTATAAAAATTTATAATTCGTAGGAATAACATTTAAACGAATATTTACCAAAACATATTTTTTTGATTCAAAGTTAAAGACAATGTTCAAATCATTACGAAAATGAAAAATTCTAAGAATGCAGTTCTAAATACGATATAGTGATAAATTTGATATTTTGAAATTTGTTTCTGACAAAAATCTTTATCATTAAAAAATCCTTCTGATAAATTTTGATTATTATCTGAAATGGTAATCCAGTGAACCGTAAGCATCCAGATATTTTGAGAAAAAATTAAAATTGTATTACAACATTTTACAATTTTTCGATTCCTTCGTTTTTTTCCTTTTAAATTTTGCGATATTTCAGTTTTCGACTTTCCAATTTTTCAATTTCCGGATTTATAAATTTTGTATTTTTCACTCTTCTGATGTTTCGATTTCTCGACCATTTCCATTTTTCATTTTCTCTGTTTTAAATATTTCGGTTTTTCAATTTTTCGATGTGTCAACTTTTCTAATTACTTCTCGATTTTCCAGTTTTTCAATGTTCCGACTTTTCAATTTTTCGATTTCCCAATTTTTCATCGTTTCGGTATTGGAATTTTTCAATTTCTCGATTTTTCAATTTCTCCTTTATTTAAATTTCGGACTTTCGATTTCTGGATGTCTCGGTTTTTCGATTTTTTGACCTTTCGATTTGTATTTGTGTATTTTTTGGATTTTTGAATTTTTTAATTTTTTAATGTTTCGATTTCACGATTTTTTCAGTTTTTGAGTTCTCGGTCTTACATTTTTCAACTTCTCATTTTTCGATTTCTCGATTACTCGATTCTTTGTTGTTTCAATTTCTCGAGTCCCAGTTTTTGCATTTTTCGATGTTGCAACTTTTCGATTTCTCCATTTTTCAATTTTTTGCCAATTTTTCGATGTTCTGATTTTTCAATTTTTCGATTTCCCATTTTTTCGTCATTTCAGTTTTGGAATTTTTCAGTTTTTCGATTCTTACTTTTCCCAATTTTTCAATTTTTCCATTTATCTAAATTCGGGATTTTCAATTTCTCGATATCTCCGTTTTTCAGTTTTTTGACCATTTGATTTGTCAATTTTTTTATTTCTAAATTTTATAGTTTTGAATTTTTCAGCTTATCGACCTTCTTCCAAATTTCTGTTATTTCATTTCTGGAATTTTCAAATTTTTAATTTTTCAGTTTTTTTATTTTCCAATCTTTCAATATTTTGATGATTCGATTTCCAGGGATCTCGATTTTTTTTGATTTGATAAATTTTTCAAGTTTTAAAATTTTTGGTCTTGATGTTTCGTTTTCCCGATGTTTCGATTTCTCGATGTTTTATTTTTTTCTACTTTTCGATTTTTCAGTTTTTCGTTTTTTCAATTTTCCGATTTCTCGATTTCTCGATTTTTCGATTTTTCAACTTTTCGATTTTTAAATTGTCCAATTTTTCGGTTTCTCAGATTTTGGATTTTTTAAATTTTCGCTTTCTGGACTTCGATTTTTCGACTTTTCAATTCTCGATTTCTCAGTGTTTTGATGTTTCGATTTCACAATTTTTCCGTTTTTCGACTTCTCGGTCTTTGATTTTCGGTTTTTTAATTTTTTTATCTTAAAAATTTTTGATTTTTCGATGTATCGACTTCTCACTTTTCGATTTCTCGGTTTCTCGGTTTTTGTTTTTTTAAATTTTCGATTTTTCGATGTCTTAGTTTTGGAATTTTTCAATTTTTCAATATTTGGTATTAAATTTTTCAGTTATCTAAGTTTTTCGATTTTTAGGTGTTTCAATTTGTTGATTTCTCGATTTCTAGAGTTCCCGATTACTCAATTTTCCGATTTTTGAGTTCTTCTATGCTTCTGTTTATCAATTTTTCGTCATTTTAGTTTTGAAAATTTTCAATGCTTCGATTTTTGAGTTTGTCGATTCTTCATATTACTTATTAATTTTTTTAATTTTCGATTTTTGGACTGCGATTTTTCGACTTTTTGATTTGTTGATTTTTCAATTTTTCGATATTTCAGTTTTGAAACTTTTCGATTTTTCGATTATTTAATTTTTCTTACAATTTTCAATTTTTCTGTATTTCCGTTTTGGAATTTTTCAATATTTCGACTCTTCACTTTTCGATTTTTCGGCCTTTCAATTTTTCATTTTGTCGATGTTTTACTTTTCTATTTTTAATTTTTGATTTTTCAATATTCGAGTTTTTCGTTTTTTAAAGTTTCGATTTCTCGAATTTTCGATTTTTCAACTTCTCGGTTTTAGATTTTTTTCCGATTTATCAGTTTTTAAAATTTTTGACTTTTCAATGTCCCAATTTTTCGAAATTTCGGTTTCTCGACTTTTCGATTTCTCGATTACTCGATGTTTCAATTTTTGTGATTTCTCAGGTTTCTTTTTTTCGATTTTCCAGTTTTTCGTCATTTAAATTGAGAAATTTTTCAATTCCTCAATTTTTCTATTATTTAATTTATGGAATTTTCAAATTTTTCATTTTTCAGGTTTTTCATTTTCCAATTTTTCAATATTTTGATGATTCGATTTCTAGAGATCTCGGTTTTTAGATTTGCTAAATTTTTCAATTTTTAAAATTTTTCGTTTTGACTTTACGATTTCCCGATCTTTTAGTGTTTCGATTTCTCCATGTTTAATTTTTTCGACTTCCCTATTTTTCAAATTTTCGACTTTTCGATTTTTCAGTTTTTCGAGTTCTCGGTCTTAGATTTTTCAATTTTTCATTATTTTTTTATCTTTAAATATTTTGATTTTTCGAGGTTGCAACTTTGCGATTTCTCGGTTTTTGTTTTTTTAAATTTTCGACTTGTGAACTTTGGTTTTTCGACTTTTCGATCCTCTATTTTTCAATTTTTCGATGTCTTAGTTTTGGAATTTTGAAATTTTTCAATTTTTGGTATTAAATTTTCCAGTTTTATAAGTTTTTAGATTTTTAGATGTTTCGATTTTTTGATTTCACGATTTCTAGATTTCCCGATTTCTAAATTTTTCGATTTTTGAGTTATTCGATGTTTCTGTTTCTCAATTTTTCGTCATTTCAGTTTTGAAATTTTTCAATTCCTCGATTTTTCAGTTTTTCGATTTATCAGTTTTTCATTTTTTTTAATTTTCGATTTTGGACCTGAATTTTAGGATATTTAAAATTTTCGATTTTTCAGTTCTTACAATTTTCAATTTTTCGATATTTCAGTTTTCGAATTTTTCTATATCGATTCTTCAATTTTCAATTTTTCGGCTTTTCAATTTTTTGTTTTGTCGATTTCTTACTTTTCGATTTTTAATTTTAAATTTTTCAATATTCGAATTTTTCGATTTTCAATGATTCGATTTTTCGATTTTTCGACTTTTCGATTTTTTAACTTTTCGATTTTTAAATTGTTCAATTTTTCGATTTTTCAGGTTTTTGATTTTTTAAATTTTCGCTTTTTGGACTTCGATTTTTCGACTTTTCGACTCTCGATTTTTCAGTTTTTCGATGTCTCGGTTTTGGATTTTTTTCAGTTTTTTCCTTTTAAATTTTTCTATATTTCAGTTATGGGATTTTCAATATTTCAATTCTTCAGTTTTTTAGTTTTTGGACTTTTCTATATTTCGATTTCCGGATTTTTACTTTTCGATTTTTTGATGTTCCGGTTTTTCAATTTCTAAATTTCCAGATTTCTCGATTTTTCGATTTTTCGAATTTTTAAATTTTAGATTTCTTAGTGTTTTGATGTTTCGATTTCACAATTTTTCCGTTTTTCGAGTTCTCGGTTTTTGATATTTCGGTTTTTCAATTTTTTCAGATTAAAAATTTTTGATTTTTCGATGTATCGACTTCTCACTTTTCGATTTTCCGATTCTCTATTTTTCAATTTTTCGATGTAATGGTTTTGGAATTTTTCAATTTTTCGATACCTACTAAATTTTTCAGTTTTCTAGGTTTTTCGATTTTTAAAGTTTCGATTTCATGATTATTCGATTTTTCGACTTATCGGTTTTAGATTTTTCGGTTTTTCGATTTATCAATTTTTAAAATTTTTGATTTTTCAGTGTCCCAATATTTCGAAATTTCTGTTTCTCGACTTTTCGATTTTTTGATGTTTCAATTTTTTTTATTTCTCAGGTTTTCGTTTTTTCAGTGTTTGGATTTTCCAGTTTTTCGTCATTTAAGTTGAAAAATTTTTCAATTCCTCAATTTTTCTTTTATTCAATTTGTCGCATTTTTAAATTTTTTATTTTCCAATTTTTCAACATTTTGATGATTCGATTTCCAAAGATCTCGGTTTTCAGATTTGCTAAATTTTTCAATTTTTAAAATTTTTCGTCTTGACTTTCCGATTTTCCAATCTTTTAAAATTTCAAAATTTCCCGATTTCTCGATTTTTCGATTTTTGAGTATTTCGATATTTCCATTTTTCAATTTTTTGAATTCTTAAATTTTTGATTTTTCGATGTTGCAAGTTTATGATTTCTCGGTTTTTGATTTTTTAAATTTTTGATTTTTGGACTTTGGTTTTTCGACTTTTCGATTCTCTGTTTGTCAATTTTTTGATGTCCTAGTTTTGGAATTTTTCAGTTTTTCGATTTTTAGATGTTTCGATTTTTTGATTTCACGATTTCTATATTTCCCGATTTCTCAATTTTTCGATTTTTGAGTACTTCGATGTTTCTGTTTCTCAATTTTTCGTCGTTTCAGTTTTGAAATTTTTCAATTCTTCGATTTTTCAGTTTTTCGATTTATCAATTTTTCATTTTTTTGATTTTTCAATATCTCAATTTTTCGACTTTTCGATTTCTCTATTACTCGATCTTTCGATGTTTCAATTTTTTATTTCTCAGGTTTTCGTTTTTCAGCGTTTCGATTTTCCAATTTTTCTGTTATTCAATTTGCTGAATTTTTAAATTTTTGATTTTTTAGGTTTTTGATTTTCCAATTTTTCAGTATTTTGATGATTCGATTTCCAGAAATCTCAGTTTTTAGATTTGCTAAATTTTTCAATTGACTTGACTTTTCGATTTCCCTATCTTTTAGTGTTTCGATTTCTCGATGTTTCATTTTTTCGACTTCCCTATTTTTCGATTTTTCAACTTTTCGATTTTTAAATTGTTCAATTTTCCAATTTTTCAGGTGACTGATTTTTCAGATTTTCGCTTTTTGGACTTCGATTTTCCGACTTTATATTTTTCTATATTTCAGTTTTGGGATTATCAATATTTCAATTATTCAATTTTTTTTGTTTTTCGACTTTTCGATTTTCGATTTCCGGCTTTTTTACTTTTCGATTTTTAAATTTTTTGATGTTTCGATTTTTCGATTTCTCTATTTCTAAATTTCCCGATTTACCGATTTTTCAAGTTACTGATTTTTTAGATCTGCGTCATTAGAACTTCAATTTTTGAATTTTTAAATTTTAGGTTTCTCGGATTTTTAATGTTTCGATTTCACGATTTTTCCGTTTTTCGAGTTCTCGGGTTTAAATTTTTCGATTTTTTTTTATCTTTAAATTTTTTGATTTTTTAAATTTTCGATTTTTGGACTTTGATTTTTCAACTTTTCGATTCTGTCTTTCAATTTTTCAATGTCTTAATTTTGGAATTTTGGAATTTTTCAATTTTTGGTAGTAAATTTTCCAGTTTTCTAAGTTTTTTGATTTTCAGATGTTTCTATTTTTTTGTGTCGCGATTTCTAGATTTCCCCATTTCTCAATTTTTCGATTTTTGAGTTCTTCGATGTTTGTATTTCTCAATTTTTCGTCATTTCAGTTTTCAAATTTCTCATCAATTCCTCAATTTTGCAGCTTTTCGATTTATCAGTTTTTCATTTTTTTAAATTTTCCAATTTGGACCTGGATTTTTGACTTTTCGATTTATCGATTTCTCAATTTTTTGATGTTTTAGTTTTGGGATATTTCAATTTTTCGATTCTTCACTTGTTATTACAATTTTTGGTCATGGAAGTCGAGAAATGTTTCAATTCCTCAATTTTTCAGTTTTTCGATAGTTCAATTAGTCGATTTTTATATTTTTGGTTTTAAATTTTGGAATTTCGATTCGGTTTTTCAAATTTTCAATTTTTAAATTTTAGATTTTTTCAGTTTTTCGACTTATTGATACTTCCATTTCCCGTTTTTTCAATAGGTACTTCAATTCTTCAAATTTTCGATATTTTAATCTGTAATTTTTTTAATTTTTGATGTTTTTTGTTTATCAATTCTTCGATTTTTTAAATTTCTCAATGTTTTAATTCTTCTTTCAGTTGTTCGGTCTTTCAATTTTTCCACTTTTCTGATTTCAATTATTTAATTTTTCAATGTTTCGATTTTTCGAAAAACATTTTCCCTCTTTGGTTTTATACGGGCTGCGGATTTTTGCGGAATTTGTTGGACTACCCTTCAGGAACGAGGAAAGTTCTGTCGAATTAACCTTGGACCAATTTTTTCTTCTTAAAAAATAAACAAAAGCTGCTAAAAGTTATTATTTAGAAAAACTATACAATCAAAAACTGAATACACCAGCACTAATTTTCTTCTGATGAGTCTCCATTGTTGTTTAAAGGTCGAACCATCATCCTCGCCGTCTTAAGACTATAATCGGACCCACGAAACTCGTCCCAATACATAACCTTATACTCATCCTTGGGAGACGTGTTCCCTTTGAGATACTTCCCAGTCAAATGACTATCAGTGCACTGTTTGTACCACCAACCGCCCCCTAAAACCACCCCAAAAACTACAAAATCGTTTCCTTTCCAAAACTTACCCCTATAACTCCCACAATTTCCCGCATTGTACCTATCATTATCCTTGTCCTTCGTGGTAAACTTCATCCCTGCGTGATAAACCAGCGAATCCCCCGCGTTCCCTTTGTAATCCCCCAACAACTTCAAAATATACTCCTCGTCCTGATCCCCCACACTGAAAGCATCATACCTCGCGTACACCTTCTGGGCATCCCAATCTTCCAACTCCACCAGCAACTCATTCACTTCATAACCTGTCAAATAGTGCAGCCGATCCAGCCCCAACCAGAACTCCCCAGCCAGATTCCCAAACCCGCTTTTGTACTCATCCCACCCCAAATAAAAATCCTGACCGCCATCAAACCGGTTCAAAAAATACGCCCATCCGCCACCCATGGTGTCCATGTCGCAGAAAACCAGGAACGGCACCGGGGCAAAATCCGGCTGGATCGTGTACACCCCACTGGAGTTTTGACCACCTCTCTGGACATCCTTGCAGTCTTCAGGCAAATGCTCCCTACGTTCGTCCTTCACAGCCTTCCTGATGTCGACGATCTGTCTATGGAGAGTTTGCCAAAGTCGGTTGTTCTTTTTCAACTTTTCGGCGAAGTCGTCCAGACTTTCGTCGATTTGGCGCAGTTGCGATTTTAGTTCTTCTAGATCTTTGTTGGTTTTGAGTTGTTGCTCGATTTTGGTGAGGCGGTCGTTGATGGTCTTGTAAAGAGAGGAGTGGGGGTTGGACTGAAACTCAAAAAAGTTGAAAAAGGGGAGGGTGCAGGGGGTTTGTTACCTCATCGCTGCTGTTGGATTCTTCTAGTGAAACATTTTTGAAAATTAGAAGAAGTAGGAGGAGTGGTTTGAAATACATTGCTGCTATGACTGAAGGGATTTGGTGTCGTGTTGACACGTTTTGTTAAATAACTGTAAAAATGTTTACTTGTGGAGATAAAAGGTCAGAAGGCTTGACCGATAGTTGTATATTATTTATCTATCGAACGTTATCAAGGCTATTTTGGGGACAGGAGACTCTAAGCCGGAAACTTTTGATGATGCCAATAGTTATGTCATTGGAGTTGCACTATTCAAATCAATAGTAATTATTCACTACTCTTAGATATCCCTGGAATTATTAATTTCCATTCCGTCTTACTATCTAGGTCAAACTAATAAAACAAACTTGCATTAATTTACTTTTCTACCAGTTTGTTCATTCGTGTTTGAGAGTTTGAATCAAGCACGTCCATCCATGTCGAATCGATTTTTGTTTTTGACAAGTTGACTACCAACCTAGAACATGGAAATAATAAATTTAATAAGTTTCTCTTTTTGACTAAACTATGGGGCTGTTTTAGACATGTTGCTAGCTGACAGGTACGATACTGATTATCCTGAAACAGATTAATCAAAATATTAAATTACAAATATCGGTTCTAGACTGACAAAAAAGCAACTAGGACAAATACATAAATGAAAGGTGTTTCCAGAAATTCCCTAAACTCCGTTCTGGAATTCCCAGGAAGCTTACGAGATGACAAAAAAGGGAATTTAATTATGGCTTAGCAGTATAACGCCTAAATACGAGATTCCTTCAAACTACTTCAAAAACAAAACCCAAGAAATCCACGAGATTATTTCAAATTACTTCAAAAATAAGGCCCGCAGGGAGTACCCGAGATTCTTTCAAACTACTTCAAAAACTAAACCCAAGAAATCCACGAGATTACTTCAAATTACTTCAAAAACAAGGCCCAAAAGGGCCTAAAAGACTTTTTCAAACTACTTCAAAAACAAAACCCAAGGAATCCACGAGATTGTTTCAAACCACTTCAAAAACCAAACACGAGGTATCCCTGAGATCCTTTCAAACTACTTCAAAACCCAGACGCAAGGTGTCCCTGAGAATCATTAAAACTACTTCAAAAACCAGACACAACGGTTCCCCGAGATTCTATCAAACTACTTCAAAAATAAAACCCAAGATGTCCACAAGATTCTTTCAAATGACTTCAAAAACAAAAGAAAAATCCCGAGTTTCATTGAAATTACTTTAAAAACACAACGTCAAGGCCCACACGTCAAAAAACAAAGCACATATAAAAAAAATCCAGATCAAAATAATAATTCTACTTTAAAAACAAATCCAAGATTCTTTCAAAAACAAAATCCAAGAAATCCACGAAATTCTTTCCTATTGCTTCAGAAACAAGAGATTCTTTCACATTACTTCAAAAACCAGACACAAGGTTTCCTCGAGATTCTATCAAACTACTCCAAAAAATAAAACACATTTGTCCATAAAATTCTTCCAAATGGCTTCAAAAACAATAGAAAAATCCTGAGATTCATTCAAACTGCTTTAAAAATACAACGTCAATACAATAACAATTCTACTTCAAGAACAAAACCAGGGGATCCCCGAGATTCTTTCAAACTACTTCAAAAACCAGGCACGAGGTGTCGATGAGATCCTTTCAAACTACTTCAACCAGACGCAAGATGTCCCTGAGAATCATTAAAACTACTTCAAAAACCAGACACAAGGGTTGGTTCCCCGAGATTCTATCAAACTACTTCAAAAATAAAACCCAAGATGTCCACAAGATTCTTTCAAATGGCTTTAAAAACAATGGAAAAATCTCGAGATACATTCAAATTACTTCAAAAACATAACGTCAAGACCCACACTTCAAAAAACAAAGCACATATAAAAAAAAATCAAGATCAAAATTATAATTCTACTTTAAAAACAAATCCAAGATTCTTTCAAAAACAAAATCCAAGAAGTCCACGAAATTCTTTCATATTGCTTCAGAAACAAGAGATTTTTTCAAATTACTTCAAAAAACAGACACAAGGCTTCCTCGAGATTCTATCAAACTACTCCAAAAATAAAACACATTTGTCAACAAGATTCTCTCAAATGGCTTCAAAAACAATAGAAAAATCCCGGGATTCATTCAAACTACTTTAAAAATACAACGTCAATACAATAAAAAATCTAATTCAAGAACAAAACCAGGGAATCCCCAAGTTTCTTTCAAACTACTTCAAAAACAAAACCCAAGGTATCCACGAGATTCTTTCAAACTACTTCAAAAACAAGGCCTATAGTGGGACCCCGAGATTCTTTCAAACTACTTCAAAAACCAGACGCAAAGTGTCCCTGAGAATCACTAAAACTACTTCAAAAACCAGACACAAGAGTTCCCCGAAATTTTATCAAATTACTTCAAAAATAAAACCCAAGATGTCCACAAGATTCTTTCAAATGGCTTCAAAAACAACAGAAAAATCCCGAGATTCATTCAAACTGCTTTAAAAATACAACGTCAATACAATAAAAATTCTACTTCAAGAACAAAACCAGGGAATCCCCGAGATTCTTTCAAATTACTTCAAAAACCAGACACAAGGTTTCCCCGAGATTCTATCAAACTACTGCAAAAATAAAACACATTTGTCCACAAGATTCTTTCAAATGGCTTCAAAAACAATAGAAAAATCCCGGAAATTATTCAAACTACATTAAAAATACAACGTCAATACAATAAAAATTCTACTTCAAGAACAAAACCAGGGAATCCCCGAGATTTTTTCAAACTACTTCAAAAATAAAATCCAAGAAATCCACGAGATTCTTTCAACTTACTTCAAAAACAAGGCCTATAATGGGTCCTCAAGATTCTATCAAACTACTTCAAAAATAAATCCCAAGATGTCCACAAGACTCTTTCAATGGAAAAATCCCGAGATACATTCAAATTACTTTAAAAACATAACGTCAAGGCCCACACTTCAAAAAACAAAACACATATAAAAGAAATCAAGATCAAAATAATCATTCTACTTTAAAAACAAATCCAAGATTTTTCAAAAACAAAATCCAAGAAATCCACGAAATTCTTTCCTATTGCTTCAGAAACAAGAGATTCTTTCAAATTACTTCAAAAACCTCACACAAGTTTTCCTCGAGATTCTATCAAACAACTCCAAAAATAAAACACATTTGTCCACAAGATTCTTCCAAATGGCTTAAAAAACAATAGAAAAATCCCGAGATTCATTTAAACTACTTTAAAAATACAAAGTTAATACAATAAAAATTCTACTTCAAGAACAAAACCAGGGGATCCCCGAGATTTTTTCAAACTACCCCATAAACCAGATACAAAGTGTCCTCGAGATTCTTTCAAACTACTTCAAAAACAAAACCCAAGGAATCCCCTAGTCCCACAGGGGGTCCCCGAGATTTTTTCAAACTACTTCAGAACCCAAGAAATCCACGAGATTTTTTCAAACTACTTCAAAACCCAAGAATTCCAGGAGAATATTTCAAATTATTTCAAAAACAATGCCCAAAAGGCTCTAATAGATTCTTTCAAATTTTTTCAAATACAAAACAAGGGGTCCCCGAGATTCTTTTAAACTACCTCAAAAACAAAACCCAAGGAATCCACAGGATTCTTTCAAACTACTTCAAAACCAGATAGAAAGTATCCCCGAGAATCTTTCAAACTACTTCCAAAACAAATCCCAAGTAATGAACGAGATTGTTTTTCAAATTACTACAAAAAGCAGCCTCAAAGGGGATCCCAAGATTTTGTCAAACTACTTCAAAAACAAAACAGAAAAGGTCCCCTAAGTCCTTTTAAACTATCTCAAAAAGCAGACACAAAGTGTCCCCGAGATTCCTTCAAACTACTTCAAAAACAAAACCCAAGAAATCCACGAGATTCTTTCAAATTACTGAAAACATAAGGCCCACAGGGGGTTTCCAAGATTCCATCAAACTACTCCAAAACAAAACACAAGGCGTCCCCGAGATTCTTTCAAACTACCTCAGAAACCAGACACAAAGTGTCCTCGAGATTCAAAAACAAAACCCCAGGAATTCACGAGATTCTTTCCAATTACTTTAAAAACGAAGCCTACAGGAGGTCTCCGATATTTTTCATACTACTTCAAAAACAAAACCCAAGAAATCTACGAGATTCTTTCAAATTATTTCAAAACAAAAGCTCAAGAAATACCAAATTGCTTCAAAAACAAAGCCCACAGGGGGTCCCCGAGATTCTTTCAAACTACTTCAAAAACTAAACCCAAGAAATCCACGAGATTACTTCAAATTATTTAAAAAACAAGGCCCAAAAGGGTCTAAGAGACTCTTTCAAACTAGTACTTCAAAAACAAAACACAAGGCGGTCCCGAGATTTTTTCAAATTACCTCAAAAACCAGACACAAAGTGTCCCCGAGATCCTTTCAAACTACTTCAAAAACCAGACGCAAGGTGTCCCTGAGAATCATTAAAACTACTTCAAAAACCAGACACAAGGGTTCCCCGAGATTCTATCAAACTATTTCAAAGTAAAACCTAAGATGTCCACAAGATTTTTTCAAATGGGTTCAGAAACGATAGAAAAATCCCGAGATTTATTCAAATTACTTCAAAAACACAACGTCAAGGCCGACACTTCAAAAAACAAAGCACATATAAAAGAAATCAAGATCAAAATAATCATTCTACTTTAAAAACAAAACCAAGATTCTTTCAAACCACTTTAAAAACAAAACACGACGGATCTCCGAAATTCTTTCAAATTACTTTAGAAACAAAACACAAAATGTTCCCAAGATTCTATCAAACTACTTCAAATACAAAATCCAAGAAATCCACGAAATTCTTTCCTATTGTTTCAGAAACAAGAAATTCTCTTAAATCACTTCAAAAACCAGACACAAGGTGTCCTCGTGATTCAAAAACAAAACCCCAGGAATTCACGAGATTTTTTCCAATTACTTCAAAAACGAGGCCTACAGGAGGTCTCCGATATTTTTCAAACTACTTCAAAAACAAAACCCAAGAAATCTACGAGATTCTTTCAAATAATTTCAAAATCAAAACCCAAGAAATCTATGAGAT